GCATTTCGCTGCCTCAGCCTCCTCTCTCTTCTGCTCAGCCTCACTCCTTGCCTTCTCCGCTTCCTCCCTCTCTTTCTCCGCCTCGCATTTCGCTGCCTCAGCCTCCTCTCTCTTCTGCTCAGCCTCACTCCTTGCCTTCTCCGCTTCCTCCCTCTCTTTCTCCGCCTCGCATTTCGCTGCCTCAGCCTCCTCTCTCTTCTGCTCAGCCTCACTCCTTGCCTTCTCCGCTTCCTCCCTCTCTTTCTCCGCCTCGCATTTCGCTGCCTCAGCCTCCTCTCTCTTCTGCTCAGCCTCACTCCTTGCCTTCTCCGCTTCCTCCCTCTCTTTCTCCGCCTCGCATTTCGCTGCCTCAGCCTCCTCTCTCTTCTGCTCAGCCTCACTCCTTGCCTTCTCCGCTTCCTCCCTCTCTTTCTCCGCCTCGCATTTCGCTGCCTCAGCCTCCTCTCTCTTCTGCTCAGCCTCACTCCTTGCCTTCTCCGCTTCCTCCCTCTCTTTCTCCGCCTCGCATTTCGCTGCCTCAGCCTCCTCTCTCTTCTGCTCAGCCTCACTCCTTGCCTTCTCCGCTTCCTCCCTCTCTTTCTCCGCCTCGCATTTCGCTGCCTCAGCCTCCTCTCTCTTCTGCTCAGCCTCACTCCTTGCCTTCTCCGCTTCCTCCCTCTCTTTCTCCGCCTCGCATTTCGCTGCCTCAGCCTCCTCTCTCTTCTGCTCAGCCTCACTCCTTGCCTTCTCCGCTTCCTCCCTCTCTTTCTCCGCCTCGCATTTCGCTGCCTCAGCCTCCTCTCTCTTCTGCTCAGCCTCACTCCTTGCCTTCTCCGCTTCCTCCCTCTCTTTCTCCGCCTCGCATTTCGCTGCCTCAGCCTCCTCTCTCTTCTGCTCAGCCTCACTCCTTGCCTTCTCCGCTTCCTCCCTCTCTTTCTCCGCCTCGCATTTCGCTGCCTCAGCCTCCTCTCTCTTCTGCTCAGCCTCACTCCTTGCCTTCTCCGCTTCCTCCCTCTCTTTCTCCGCCTCGCATTTCGCTGCCTCAGCCTCCTCTCTCTTCTGCTCAGCCTCACTCCTTGCCTTCTCCGCTTCCTCCCTCTCTTTCTCCGCCTCGCATTTCGCTGCCTCAGCCTCCTCTCTCTTCTGCTCAGCCTCACTCCTTGCCTTCTCCGCTTCCTCCCTCTCTTTCTCCGCCTCGCATTTCGCTGCCTCAGCCTCCTCTCTCTTCTGCTCAGCCTCACTCCTTGCCTTCTCCGCTTCCTCCCTCTCTTTCTCCGCCTCGCATTTCGCTGCCTCAGCCTCCTCTCTCTTCTGCTCAGCCTCACTCCTTGCCTTCTCCGCTTCCTCCCTCTCTTTCTCCGCCTCGCATTTCGCTGCCTCAGCCTCCTCTCTCTTCTGCTCAGCCTCACTCCTTGCCTTCTCCGCTTCCTCCCTCTCTTTCTCCGCCTCGCATTTCGCTGCCTCAGCCTCCTCTCTCTTCTGCTCAGCCTCACTCCTTGCCTTCTCCGCTTCCTCCCTCTCTTTCTCCGCCTCGCATTTCGCTGCCTCAGCCTCCTCTCTCTTCTGCTCAGCCTCACTCCTTGCCTTCTCCGCTTCCTCCCTCTCTTTCTCCGCCTCGCATTTCGCTGCCTCAGCCTCCTCTCTCTTCTGCTCAGCCTCACTCCTTGCCTTCTCCGCTTCCTCCCTCTCTTTCTCCGCCTCGCATTTCGCTGCCTCAGCCTCCTCTCTCTTCTGCTCAGCCTCACTCCTTGCCTTCTCCGCTTCCTCCCTCTCTTTCTCCGCCTCGCATTTCACTGCCTCAGCCTCCTCTCTCTTCTGCTCAGCCTCACTCCTTGCCTTCTCCGCTTCCTCCCTCTCTTTCTCCGCCTCGCATTTCGCTGCCTCAGCCTCCTCTCTCTTCTGCTCAGCCTCACTCCTTGCCTTCTCCGCTTCCTCCCTCTCTTTCTCCGCCTCGCATTTCGCTGCCTCAGCCTCCTCTCTCTTCTGCTCAGCCTCACTCCTTGCCTTCTCCGCTTCCTCCCTCTCTTTCTCCGCCTCGCATTTCGCTGCCTCAGCCTCCTCTCTCTTCTGCTCAGCCTCACTCCTTGCCTTCTCCGCTTCCTCCCTCTCTTTCTCCGCCTCGCATTTCGCTGCCTCAGCCTCCTCTCTCTTCTGCTCAGCCTCACTCCTTGCCTTCTCCGCTTCCTCCCTCTCTTTCTCCGCCTCGCATTTCGCTGCCTCAGCCTCCTCTCTCTTCTGCTCAGCCTCACTCCTTGCCTTCTCCGCTTCCTCCCTCTCTTTCTCCGCCTCGCATTTCGCTGCCTCAGCCTCCTCTCTCTTCTGCTCAGCCTCACTCCTTGCCTTCTCCGCTTCCTCCCTCTCTTTCTCCGCCTCGCATTTCGCTGCCTCAGCCTCCTCTCTCTTCTGCTCAGCTTCACTCCTTGCCTTCTCCGCTTCCTCCCTCTCTTTCTCCGCCTCGCATTTCGCTGCCTCAGCCTCCTCTCTCTTCTGCTCAGCCTCACTCCTTGCCTTCTCCGCTTCCTCCCTCTCTTTCTCCGCCTCGCATTTCGCTGCCTCAGCCTCCTCTCTCTTCTGCTCAGCCTCACTCCTTGCCTTCTCCGCTTCCTCCCTCTCTTTCTCCGCCTCGCATTTCGCTGCCTCAGCCTCCTCTCTCTTCTTCTCAGCCTCACTCCTTGCCTTCTCCGCTTCCTCCCTCTCTTTCTCCGCCTCGCATTTCGCTGCCTCAGCCTCCTCTCTCTTCTGCTCAGCCTCACTCCTTGCCTTCTCCGCTTCCTCCCTCTCTTTCTCCGCCTCGCATTTCGCTGCCTCAGCCTCCTCTCTCTTCTGCTCAGCCTCACTCCTTGCCTTCTCCGCTTCCTCCCTCTCTTTCTCCGCCTCGCATTTCGCTGCCTCAGCCTCCTCTCTCTTCTGCTCAGCCTCACTCCTTGCCTTCTCCGCTTCCTCCCTCTCTTTCTCCGCCTCGCATTTCGCTGCCTCAGCCTCCTCTCTCTTCTGCTCAGCCTCACTCCTTGCCTTCTCCGCTTCCTCCCTCTCTTTCTCCGCCTCGCATTTCGCTGCCTCAGCCTCCTCTCTCTTCTGCTCAGCCTCACTCCTTGCCTTCTCCGCTTCCTCCCTCTCTTTCTCCGCCTCGCATTTCGCTGCCTCAGCCTCCTCTCTCTTCTGCTCAGCCTCACTCCTTGCCTTCTCCGCTTCCTCCCTCTCTTTCTCCGCCTCGCATTTCGCTGCCTCAGCCTCCTCTCTCTTCTGCTCAGCCTCACTCCTTGCCTTCTCCGCTTCCTCCCTCAATTTCTCCGCCTCGCATTTCGCTGCCTCAGCCTCCTCTCTCTTCTGCTCAGCCTCACTCCTTGCCTTCTCCGCTTCCTCCCTCTCTTTCTCCGCCTCGCATTTCGCTGCCTCAGCCTCCTCTCTCTTCTGCTCAGCCTCACTCCTTGCCTTCTCCGCTTCCTCCCTCTCTTTCTCCGCCTCGCATTTCGCTGCCTCAGCCTCCTCTCTCTTCTGCTCAGCCTCACTCCTTGCCTTCTCCGCTTCCTCCCTCTCTTTCTCCGCCTCGCATTTCGCTGCCTCAGCCTCCTCTCTCTTCTGCTCAGCCTCACTCCTTGCCTTCTCCGCTTCCTCCCTCTCTTTCTCCGCCTCGCATTTCGCTGCCTCAGCCTCCTCTCTCTTCTGCTCAGCCTCACTCCTTGCCTTCTCCGCTTCCTCCCTCTCTTTCTCCGCCTCGCATTTCGCTGCCTCAGCCTCCTCTCTCTTCTGCTCAGCCTCACTCCTTGCCTTCTCCGCTTCCTCCCTCTCTTTCTCCGCCTCGCATTTCGCTGCCTCAGCCTCCTCTCTCTTCTGCTCAGCCTCACTCCTTGCCTTCTCCGCTTCCTCCCTCTCTTTCTCCGCCTCGCATTTCGCTGCCTCAGCCTCCTCTCTCTTCTGCTCAGCCTCACTCCTTGCCTTCTCCGCTTCCTCCCTCTCTTTCTCCGCCTCGCATTTCGCTGCCTCAGCCTCCTCTCTCTTCTGCTCAGCCTCACTCCTTGCCTTCTCCGCTTCCTCCCTCTCTTTCTCCGCCTCGCATTTCGCTGCCTCAGCCTCCTCTCTCTTCTGCTCAGCCTCACTCCTTGCCTTCTCCGCTTCCTCCCTCTCTTTCTCCGCCTCGCATTTCGCTGCCTCAGCCTCCTCTCTCTTCTGCTCAGCCTCACTCCTTGCCTTCTCCGCTTCCTCCCTCTCTTTCTCCGCCTCGCATTTCGCTGCCTCAGCCTCCTCTCTCTTCTGCTCAGCCTCACTCCTTGCCTTCTCCGCTTCCTCCCTCTCTTTCTCCGCCTCGCATTTCGCTGCCTCAGCCTCCTCTCTCTTCTGCTCAGCCTCACTCCTTGCCTTCTCCGCTTCCTCCCTCTCTTTCTCCGCCTCGCATTTCGCTGCCTCAGCCTCCTCTCTCTTCTGCTCAGCCTCACTCCTTGCCTTCTCCGCTTCCTCCCTCTCTTTCTCCGCCTCGCATTTCGCTGCCTCAGCCTCCTCTCTCTTCTGCTCAGCCTCACTCCTTGCCTTCTCCGCTTCCTCCCTCTCTTTCTCCGCCTCGCATTTCGCTGCCTCAGCCTCCTCTCTCTTCTGCTCAGCCTCACTCCTTGCCTTCTCCGCTTCCTCCCTCTCTTTCTCCGCCTCGCATTTCGCTGCCTCAGCCTCCTCTCTCTTCTGCTCAGCCTCACTCCTTGCCTTCTCCGCTTCCTCCCTCTCTTTCTCCGCCTCGCATTTCGCTGCCTCAGCCTCCTCTCTCTTCTGCTCAGCCTCACTCCTTGCCTTCTCCGCTTCCTCCCTCTCTTTCTCCGCCTCGCATTTCGCTGCCTCAGCCTCCTCTCTCTTCTTCTCAGCCTCACTCCTTGCCTTCTCCGCTTCCTCCCTCTCTTTCTCCGCCTCGCATTTCGCTGCCTCAGCCTCCTCTCTCTTCTGCTCAGCCTCACTCCTTGCCTTCTCCGCTTCCTCCCTCTCTTTCTCCGCCTCGCATTTCGCTGCCTCAGCCTCCTCTCTCTTCTGCTCAGCCTCACTCCTTGCCTTCTCCGCTTCCTCCCTCTCTTTCTCCGCCTCGCATTTCGCTGCCTCAGCCTCCTCTCTCTTCTGCTCAGCCTCACTCCTTGCCTTCTCCGCTTCCTCCCTCTCTTTCTCCGCCTCGCATTTCACTGCCTCAGCCTCCTCTCTCTTCTGCTCAGCCTCACTCCTTGCCTTCTCCGCTTCCTCCCTCTCTTTCTCCGCCTCGCATTTCACTGCCTCAGCCTCCTCTCTCTTCTGCACAGCCTCACTCCTTGCCTTCTCCGCTTCCTCCCTCTCTTTCTCCGCCTCGCATTTCGCTGCCTCAGCCTCCTCTCTCTTCTTCTCAGCCTCACTCCTTGCCTTCTCCGCTTCCTCCCTCTCTTTCTCCGCCTCGCATTTCGCTGCCTCAGCCTCCTCTCTCTTCTGCTCAGCCTCACTCGCCTTCTCCGCTTCCTCCCTCTCTTTCTCCGCCTCGCATTTCGCTGCCTCAGCCTCCTCTCTCTTCTTCTCAGCCTCACTCCTTGCCTTCTCCGCTTCCTCCCTCTCTTTCTCCGCCTCGCTTTTCGCTGCCTCAGCCTCCTCTCTCTTCTGCTCAGCCTCACTCCTTGCCTTCTCCGCTTCCTCCCTCTCTTTCTCCGCCTCGCATTTCGCTACCTCAGCCTCCTCTCTCTTCTGCTCAGCCTCACTCCTTGCCTTCTCCCCTTCCACCCTCTCTTTCTCCGCCTCGCATTTCGCTGCCTCAGCCTCGTCTGTCTTCTGCTCAGCCTCACTCCTTGCCTTCTCCGCTTCCTCCCTCTCTTTCTCCGCCTCGCATTTCGCTGCCTCAGCCTCCTCTCTCTTCTGCTCAGCCTCACTCCTTGCCTTCTCCGCTTCCTCCCTCTCTTTCTCCGCCTCGCATTTCGCTGCCTCAGCCTCCTCTCTCTTCTGCTCAGCCTCACTCCTTGCCTTCTCCGCTTCCTCCCTCTCTTTCTCCGCCTCGCATTTCGCTGCCTCAGCCTCCTCTCTCTTCTGCTCAGCCTCACTCCTTGCCTCCTCCGCTTCCTCCCTCTCTTTCTCCGCCTCGCATTTCGCTGCCTCAGCCTCCTCTCTCTTCTGCTCAGCCTCACTCCTTGCCTTCTCCGCTTCCTCCCTCTCTTTCTCCGCCTCGCATTTCGCTGCCTCAGCCTCCTCTCTCTTCTTCTCAGCCTCACTCCTTGCCTTCTCCGCTTCCTCCCTCTCTTTCTCCGCCTCGCATTTCGCTGCCTCAGCCTCCTCTCTCTTCTGCTCAGCCTCACTCCTTGCCTTCTCCGCTTCCTCCCTCTCTTTCTCCGCCTCGCATTTCGCTACCTCAGCCTCCTCTCTCTTCTGCTCAGCCTCACTCCTTGCCTCCTCCACTTCCACCCTCTCTTTCTCCGCCTCGCATTTCGCTGCCTCAGCCTCGTCTGTCTTCTGCTCAGCCTCACTCCTTGCCTTCTCCGCTTCCTCCCTCTCTTTCTCCGCCTCGCATTTCGCTGCCTCAGCCTCCTCTCTCTTCTGCTCAGCCTCACTCCTTGCCTTCTCCGCTTCCTCCCTCTCTTTCTCCGCCTCGCATTTCGCTGCCTCAGCCTCCTCTCTCTTCTGCTCAGCCTCACTCCTTGCCTTCTCCGCTTCCTCCCTCTCTTTCTCCGCCTCGCATTTCGCTGCCTCAGCCTCCTCTCTCTTCTGCTCAGCCTCACTCCTTGCCTTCTCCGCTTCCTCCCTCTCTTTCTCCGCCTCGCATTTCGCTGCCTCAGCCTCCTCTCTCTTCTGCTCAGCCTCACTCCTTGCCGTCTCCGCTTCCTCCCTCTCTTTCTCCGCCTCGCATTTCGCTGCCTCAGCCTCCTCTCTCTTCTTCTCAGCCTCACTCCTTGCCTTCTCCGCTTCCTCCCTCTCTTTCTCCGCCTCGCATTTCGCTGCCTCAGCCTCCTCTCTCTTCTGCTCAGCCTCACTCCTTGCCTTCTCCGCTTCCTCCCTCTCTTTCTCCGCCTCGCATTTCGCTGCCTCAGCCTCCTCTCTCTTCTGCTCAGCCTCACTCCTTGCCTTCTCCGCTTCCTCCCTCTCTTTCTCCGCCTCGCATTTCGCTGCCTCAGCCTCCTCTCTCTTCTGCTCAGCCTCACTCCTTGCCTTCTCCGCTTCCTCCCTCTCTTTCTCCGCCTCGCATTTCGCTGCCTCAGCCTCCTCTCTCTTCTGCTCAGCCTCACTCCTTGCCTTCTCCGCTTCCTCCCTCTCTTTCTCCGCCTCGCATTTCGCTGCCTCAGCCTCCTCTCTCTTCTGCTCAGCCTCACTCCTTGCCTTCTCCGCTTCCTCCCTCTCTTTCTCCGCCTCGCATTTCGCTGCCTCAGCCTCCTCTCTCTTCTGCTCAGCCTCACTCCTTGCCTTCTCCGCTTCCTCCCTCTCTTTCTCCGCCTCGCATTTCGCTGCCTCAGCCTCCTCTCTCTTCTTCTCAGCCTCACTCCTTGCCTTCTCCGCTTCCTCCCTCTCTTTCTCCGCCTCGCATTTCGCTGCCTCAGCCTCCTCTCTCTTCTGCTCAGCCTCACTCCTTGCCTTCTCCGCTTCCTCCCTCTCTTTCTCCGCCTCGCATTTCGCTACCTCAGCCTCCTCTCTCTTCTGCTCAGCCTCACTCCTTGCCTTCTCCCCTTCCACCCTCTCTTTCTCCGCCTCGCATTTCGCTGCCTCAGCCTCGTCTGTCTTCTGCTCAGCCTCACTCCTTGCCTTCTCCGCTTCCTCCCTCTCTTTCTCCGCCTCGCATTTCGCTGCCTCAGCCTCCTCTCTCTTCTGCTCAGCCTCACTCCTTGCCTTCTCCGCTTCCTCCCTCTCTTTCTCCGCCTCGCATTTCGCTGCCTCAGCCTCCTCTCTCTTCTGCTCAGCCTCACTCCTTGCCTTCTCCGCTTCCTCCCTCTCTTTCTCCGCCTCGCATTTCGCTGCCTCAGCCTCCTCTCTCTTCTGCTCAGCCTCACTCCTTGCCTCCTCCGCTTCCTCCCTCTCTTTCTCCGCCTCGCATTTCGCTGCCTCAGCCTCCTCTCTCTTCTGCTCAGCCTCACTCCTTGCCTTCTCCGCTTCCTCCCTCTCTTTCTCCGCCTCGCATTTCGCTGCCTCAGCCTCCTCTCTCTTCTTCTCAGCCTCACTCCTTGCCTTCTCCGCTTCCTCCCTCTCTTTCTCCGCCTCGCATTTCGCTGCCTCAGCCTCCTCTCTCTTCTGCTCAGCCTCACTCCTTGCCTTCTCCGCTTCCTCCCTCTCTTTCTCCGCCTCGCATTTCGCTACCTCAGCCTCCTCTCTCTTCTGCTCAGCCTCACTCCTTGCCTCCTCCACTTCCACCCTCTCTTTCTCCGCCTCGCATTTCGCTGCCTCAGCCTCGTCTGTCTTCTGCTCAGCCTCACTCCTTGCCTTCTCCGCTTCCTCCCTCTCTTTCTCCGCCTCGCATTTCGCTGCCTCAGCCTCCTCTCTCTTCTGCTCAGCCTCACTCCTTGCCTTCTCCGCTTCCTCCCTCTCTTTCTCCGCCTCGCATTTCGCTGCCTCAGCCTCCTCTCTCTTCTGCTCAGCCTCACTCCTTGCCTTCTCCGCTTCCTCCCTCTCTTTCTCCGCCTCGCATTTCGCTGCCTCAGCCTCCTCTCTCTTCTGCTCAGCCTCACTCCTTGCCTTCTCCGCTTCCTCCCTCTCTTTCTCCGCCTCGCATTTCGCTGCCTCAGCCTCCTCTCTCTTCTGCTCAGCCTCACTCCTTGCCGTCTCCGCTTCCTCCCTCTCTTTCTCCGCCTCGCATTTCGCTGCCTCAGCCTCCTCTCTCTTCTTCTCAGCCTCACTCCTTGCCTTCTCCGCTTCCTCCCTCTCTTTCTCCGCCTCGCATTTCGCTGCCTCAGCCTCCTCTCTCTTCTGCTCAGCCTCACTCCTTGCCTTCTCCGCTTCCTCCCTCTCTTTCTCCGCCTCGCATTTCGCTGCCTCAGCCTCCTCTCTCTTCTGCTCAGCCTCACTCCTTGCCTTCTCCGCTTCCTCCCTCTCTTTCTCCGCCTCGCATTTCGCTGCCTCAGCCTCCTCTCTCTTCTGCTCAGCCTCACTCCTTGCCTTCTCCGCTTCCTCCCTCTCTTTCTCCGCCTCGCATTTCGCTGCCTCAGCCTCCTCTCTCTTCTGCTCAGCCTCACTCCTTGCCTTCTCCGCTTCCTCCCTCTCTTTCTCCGCCTCGCATTTCGCTGCCTCAGCCTCCTCTCTCTTCTGCTCAGCCTCACTCCTTGCCTTCTCCGCTTCCTCCCTCTCTTTCTCCGCCTCGCATTTCGCTGCCTCAGCCTCCTCTCTCTTCTGCTCAGCCTCACTCCTTGCCTTCTCCGCTTCCTCCCTCTCTTTCTCCGCCTCGCATTTCGCTGCCTCAGCCTCCTCTCTCTTCTGCTCAGCCTCACTCCTTGCCGTCTCCGCTTCCTCCCTCTCTTTCTCCGCCTCGCATTTCGCTGCCTCAGCCTCCTCTCTCTTCTTCTCAGCCTCACTCCTTGCCTTCTCCGCTTCCTCCCTCTCTTTCTCCGCCTCGCATTTCGCTGCCTCAGCCTCCTCTCTCTTCTGCTCAGCCTCACTCCTTGCCTTCTCCGCTTCCTCCCTCTCTTTCTCCGCCTCGCATTTCGCTGCCTCAGCCTCCTCTCTCTTCTGCTCAGCCTCACTCCTTGCCGTCTCCGCTTCCTCCCTCTCTTTCTCCGCCTCGCATTTCGCTGCCTCAGCCTCCTCTCTCTTCTTCTCAGCCTCACTCCTTGCCTTCTCCGCTTCCTCCCTCTCTTTCTCCGCCTCGCATTTCGCTGCCTCAGCCTCCTCTCTCTTCTGCTCAGCCTCACTCCTTGCCTTCTCCGCTTCCTCCCTCTCTTTCTCCGCCTCGCATTTCGCTGCCTCAGCCTCCTCTCTCTTCTTCTCAGCCTCACTCCTTGCCTTCTCCGCTTCCTCCCTCTCTTTCTCCGCCTCGCATTTCGCTGCCTCAGCCTCCTCTCTCTTCTGCTCAGCCTCACTCCTTGCCTTCTCCGCTTCCTCCCTCTCTTTCTCCGCCTCGCATTTCGCTGCCTCAGCCTCCTCTCTCTTCTTCTCAGCCTCACTCCTTGCCTTCTCCGCTTCCTCCCTCTCTTTCTCCGCCTCGCATTTCGCTGCCTCAGCCTCCTCTCTCTTCTTCTCAGCCTCACTCCTTGCCTTCTCCGCTTCCTCCCTCTCTTTCTCCGCCTCGCATTTCAATGCCTCAGTCTCCTCTCTCTTCTGCTCAGCCTCACTCCATGCCCTCTCCGCTTCCTCCCTTCTCTTCTCTGCTTCTGCCGTCTCCCTTTCAGTCTCCTCTCTCCAGTTCTCCGCCTGTAACCGCGTCTCCTCCCTCTCACTCTCTCGTTCTTCCCTCTCCCTCTCTCTTTCCTCCCTCTCCCCCTCGCTTTCTTCCCTCTCCCTCTCCCTCTCAGCCATTCGCCTCTCAGCCACATCCCTTTCCCTCTCTGCTACATCCCTTTCCCTTGCTGCAACATCCCTCTCATGCTCAGCACTCACTCTCCTCCTCTCCGACTCGCTAAGAGCATGCTCCAGTTCCTGTATAACCCTCTCCGCCTCCTCCCCTAGCCTCTCCTCCTCCTCCCGTCCCCCTGTCGCCATCAACCCACGCCGCTGTAACAACTCTCCGTGAGCGTCAGCTTCTCGATTCTCTGCTGCTTCGCACTGTTCCCTGTGCCCTTCATACACTGTCAGAACCTCCTTCACTTGCTCGTCCTCCTCCCCCTCACTCATCTCCTTGTGTGTCCCCCGCCCCTGCTCCTTCTCCTCCTGCTGCCCCTGCTGCCGCTCCTGCTCCTGCTTCGGCCCGTCCCGTTCGCTGCTAGTCGCTTCAAACGAGCTCAGCCCTATTGGTTGCTTCCGACCGTCTCTACTCATTCCAGTGCACCCCTCTCCCTCTTCTGTTCTCTCCCCTGCAGTGTGCTCCTCACCTACTGTCCCCTTTGAGGTTCCTTTTGATACAGGAGAATCTGCAACCAAAGCAGTTTCAAGTCTCCATTCATCATCACCTCCCTTTCCCTCCTCTGCCTCCTCTTTCTCCTCTCCCACCTCCTCTCCCATCAGCCGTTTCACCTCGCTTCTGAGCCTCAACACTTCTCCTTGCACCTCCTTCATCCTCCCAATCACCTCGTCCCTTTCTCTCTCCACCCTCTCCCTCCCCCTGTCCGCCTCCTCCCTCACTCTCTGCACATCCCTCACTCTCCCTTCCACCTTCCTACACCTTTCTTCAAGGCCCCTTCTCTCCTCCTCCCCTTTAAGCAACTCAGCTTGCAGTTGCCTACCCCACACCCTCAAATCATGTGCCACGTTCTCTGCTTCCTCCATTCTCTTCCTTACCTCCCTCACTCTCTCCCCTTCCTCCCCTTCACTTAACCTACCCCCTCCTGCCCGTTTGTGCGCTTCCACGGTCAGCATTAAAGTTTCGATTTTCCCCTCCAGACCAATCTTTTTCGCCCGTTCCTCTTCCCGGGCAGCCAAAGCCGCCGCAGTTTCTGCCCGCAAAACTTCCACCTCATGTTTCATCGCCTCAGCTTCCACCTTAGCCATTTCCGCAGCTGCCCGAACCAGCTCTGACTCCGCCTTAAACTTTTCTGCGGCTGCCCGAGCTTTCTCAGCCTCAGCCTGCGCAGTTTCCGCTTCTGCCCGAATCTTATCCGAATCTTCCCACACTCGCTTAGCCTCAATCCTCATCCGCTCGGCATCCAGAACCTTCTTGGCAGCTTCCTCAACCTTCAGTAATGCCATATCCCTCTCCCTTAAAGCCCCTTCCATTGCCCTCTCGGCTTCAACCTTCTCTCTTACTGCAGTCTCTCTCACCCTCTCCGCTTCCCTCCTCCCTCTCTCTGCTCCCTCTGCTGCTCGTACCGCCTCTTCCATCGCACTCTCAGCAACCTCTCTCCTCCTCCTTGCCTCCTCACACTCCTCCTCTGCAATCCTCCTCCTCGCTTCCTCTTCCACCCTCCTCCTTTCAGCCTCATCCCTTTCCCTCGCCATCTCCTCCCTCTCATTTACCGCCTGGTCTCTCAGCCCAAGGGCTGCTTTTTCCCCGTTATAAGCCTCCTCCATTGCCTTTACAGCTTCGCCTCTCTTTGCCTCAGCTTCCCTCAGGGCTTCACTTGCCGCTACCAACCTCCCTTCCATTTCTCCCCTTTCTCTCTCCACCTCCTCCCTCACTCTCTCCCCTTCTTTCTCCACATCCCTCGCCCTCCTCACAGCCTCTTCCCTCTCCTCCTCACCCTCACCCTTCCTCCTCTCTGCCTCTTCCCTCCCCTTCTCTGCCTCCTCCCTCATCCTCCTCTCCTCCTCCAACTCCCTTTCAACCTCCTCCCTCCGCCTCCCCTCACTCTCTCTCCCTCTCTCACTCTCCCTCCACAACCCCTCCACTTCCCCAAACTTCCCTTCAGCCTCCTCCCTCCTTCTCTCCGCTTCATCCCGTTCCATTAAAGCCCTAACCATCCTTTCTTCTGCTTCCTTCCGTTTCCTCTCTGCTCCCTGCTTCCCTCTCTCTGCCTCTTCTCGAGCCCTCAAGGCTTCTCTCAATCCTCTCTCCGCCTCCTCTCGCCTTCTCCCTAGCTCCAACCACCCTCCCCGGATCAAGCCTCGAGCTTCCTCCCCCCTGACCCCCCCTTCCTCTGCCGCACCTGTACCCCTTACAAGCTGCCTCGGAGTCCCCTTAGGAGAAGGCTCGCTTTCCTCTACAGTATGCACATTCAGTCGTTGGGCCCGCCCTTCTGTACTCGCTATAGCAGGAGGCAGTTTCTTAAAGAGAGGCTTGGAAATGAAGGAGGATGGGCTGGGAGGTTCAGATCCAAAGGATGACCCAAAGGAGGAGCTTGACAGCTGGCTCAGCAGCAACTTATCCTCGTTATGAACTGCTCCAGTTAGCGATGACGCCACTCGTTCTAGCCGCTCCGCTTGCTGCTTTACGTTACGTGCACCTTCTTCTACACGCATCTGCACCCCGTCCTCCTTACAAGCTGATATCTCAATGGATACTGCTGACTCGCTACAAGCTCTTGTACCGACCTCCTCTTCCCGTTGCTCCCCCGTATCTCCCCCCTTGTCTCCCCCCTTATCTTCCCCCCCCTCTTCCTCACTACTTAACAAACTCCCTTTCCCTGCCTCGCCACCTCCTTCCCCACTCTCTCCCAAGTCACCTCCCTCCACCTCATCTCCCGCCGTTGCCACTCCCACTTCCGACCTCTCCTCGCAAGTGCCCTCATTTCGTGCCTTTTCCTGCTCTTCCGTACGCTCCCCATGCTGCCGGTCCCCTTGCTGCTCCACTTGCTGCTCTTCAGTACGCTCGCCGTGCGATTGCTCCCCATTTCCAAGACTATTGTGCTTCACTGCTGCTATTCCATCTGTACACTCCATCTCTGAATTCACCCTGGTAGGCTCATCCCCGTTAGAAGACTCAACCTCGTTAGTAGTCTCAACCTCGTTAGCAGCCCCGTTAGTAGACTCAACCCCGTTAGCAAACTTAGCCCCGTTAGTAGACTCAACTCCGTCAGTGAACTCAGCCCCGTTAGTAGACTCACCAGTAACAGATTGTACAGCATTAGCAGACTCAAAGCCAATCAACAACTCCGCATCCCCCTTAAGAGCTGTCCCTTTGTACTCCTCACGGCTGTCCTTCTGCTCCTCGTTACCTCTCGCGCTGTCCTGAGAAACGCCTGTAATCGACTCAGGATTCAATTCTTCCTTGCAATCTCCCTTTGATTCTTCCTTCAGTTCTTTCACCGGATCTTCTTTTGGGGCTTCCTTCGTTTCTTCAATACAGGCCTCTGCCTTTGGCGACTCCCGAGAGGTTTCTTTAGGAGCCTTGCCTTTCTCAGGCTCCTCAAGGGAAGATCTCAGCCGTCCATTCTCCTCCTCCTCCTCTACCCGCTGCTTCTCCTCCCCCTCCTCCTTCCGACTCTCCTCCCCCTCCTCCTTCCGCCTCTCCTCCCCCTCCCCCGCCAAAGCGCCATCCGACTCCGCCTTACCCCGCGCGCGCCAGCCAGACCCGCCGCCAATCCCCCTTCCGCCGAAGGACACGCTATGAGCGGCTGTCCCGCTATTAGCGCCTGTACCGTTATTAGCACCTGTCCCGCTATGAGCAGCTGTCCAGCTATGCGCGGCTGTCCCGCTATGAGCGCCTGTCACGCTAAAGGAGGCGCCTTTCCCGCTAGAAGCGCCTTTCCCGCTGGCAGTGGCTGTTGCGGCGGATCCTCGGGACGAGGACAGCGCTCCGCTCCTGAGGCGACTCAGGTAAAGCGCCTTCCCCGTCAAACCCGCCGTGTCCTGCGCGTTTCCCGCCGTCGTCTGCGCGTTTCCCGCCGCAGCCGAGCCTGGTGACAACTTTCCCGCGTCGCCAGCAGACGGTCGTTTCGTAATCTCCTTAGAGAGTTTCTCGACTTTATTCTGAAGGTCCATGTTTTTAAACTTATACTTCCCTAACTCCACTTCTAAAGCCGTTATTTTTTCTTCCAGCTCTTTTCCCGCGCCACCACTTCCCCGGAGCCCCGGGGAACCCCGCGCGGAAGCTTCCGCGCGCGCTTTCCATTTTTCCGCCTCCGCGCGCAGATTTTCCGCCTCCGCGCGGGAAATGCTTTGCTTCTTCCACGTATCGAGCTCCGCCGTGACTGCTGCTGCGAGGTCTTTCGCGGCTCGTAACTCGGTCTGTAGGCGGTCGACCTTGCAACGAAGGTCAGAGTTTTTTATTCGAAGCTGCCCGAGTTCCACTTCCATAGCCACATCGTCCTTCGCCATTGTCACGCCAGCTAACTACTTCGGCGAAACGACCTACTGCATTAAATTTCTAAGTTCCACGAGCATTTCAGCTTTCCCGAAAGTCCTAGGTTTCTACAGGCATTCAAGGTTTCTCCAAAGCATTCTAGGTTTCCTTGGCATTTCTGGGTACTTCGAGCCTAGGTTGTGCCCAGCATTCAACACCGACCGACGCTACTGTCCTTTCCTCCTGCTTTCCCTCCACAGAGCTTTTTGCCTAGGGATTTTCGTCGTTGAGACCCTCGTTTCTTGGGATTTGCGGTTTGGTTTGGGAAGCCACATTCACGAATAGCGTTTGTCAGTGCCCATTGATCTTGACCTCCCAAGGTTTGGCAGTGGCGTCGTTCTGTAGACACCTGACAATTGGTTTTAAAGGCGGGGTGCAACTTCTTAGGAACAGTTGGGGGACAAAAATGGCATGTGAGTAACTTGAATTCTATTGGACGAAAAAACTGGAAAACCAGAAGAGGACAAACTTCTCGGCTCTGAACTGCCTGGGTCAACCTCTTCCAAGCTATAATACTTTGAAGTTGAAGTTGATAGTTGGGCCACGGCTTTAAGGTTTTAAAACCAGGGTGCACATTCAACGCGGTTCGGCTTGAGATGTTGGGAAGGGGGTTTGGAGAAAAACAGTGATTGGCTCACGAGGGGCGACAAAAAAATGATTCCGCTAGAGCTTCGGGCATTTCGTAGGTGGCGGGAGGGGGTGAAATGGCGGGAGTGGGTGAAACCGAATGGCGGGAGGGATGAAACAGATTGGCGGGAGGGGGGGGAAACGAAATTGCGGGGGAGGGGGGAAACAAAATTGCGGGGGAGGGGGGAAACGAATTTCGACGGGGAGGGGGAAATGAAATTGCGGGGGCGTGGGGAAACGAAATTGCGGGGGAGGGGGGAAACGAATTTCGACTTGAAGGGGTTGAAAGCACACCTCGTAACCCACTCAGTCAAGGGATAACCTTTGATGCACATTCAGCTGAATGTGCACCCCGGTTTTAAGGTTTTAAGGTTTTTATTATGGTCGTAACCGCATACAGTACAGCACACAAGCATGGCTTAAAGCCAAGGTCTAAGAGACCTACGCTAACACAGCATTACTTGTCTACCATTTGATAGTATGAAGGCATATGCCTGCATAGCACTGTACCCCTATTTGTGAGCCCGTATTTATGGAGGATGATAGGCGTCATTCAAGAGCCACGATTCTTTTAACTTGGGATGCAGTATGGGGGATCCGTCCAACTCGAAGTAGAGCAGTCGTAGCTCTTTAGCAGCAGTCACGCGGTTGAGAGTGGATTTCTTCTTCTTGTTGGACCAGCTGCACCGACGTGCGAAGTAGATTTTACACGCGGTTAAGAATAGAGCCAATATCCGATGCATCGTTTCGAAACGTGAGTAGGAGGTTTTCTCGTGGTAGAAGGCGCATCTGTCTCTCCAGAGAGTGGTAGCCGCTGCTCCAACTAGTAGGCACCATGGGGCGTAGTGGCTGGATGGATGACTGAGAGGAAAGAAAACTGCAGTATCATCTATAGTCAGACGAAGATGTCGTTCCGCGACACGTTGTAACGCAGAAATGACCACAGGTGCGTGCCCACAATCAAAGAACATGTGTGGAATGTCCTCAATCGTGGGGGGGCCGCACCTGGGACATGCTCCGCGAGATGCGTTGAACTTGAATCTGGCACTGGAGGAGAGTGTTTGTGTGAACAGACGAAAGAGTACGTCCCTGTGTCGGGAGGGCTGTTCTTTGAGGAAGGGGTGTCTGTAATCTGGGATTGCGGTGATCGGCGACCGGAGGGACAGATTCCATTGGTCGAGGTGATTCTGAGGTAATGGCGAGTAGAGAAGGTTTTTGATGTCCGCCAAGGAGGGGGCTGTCGCGAATAGTTCGTGACGAACACCGAGGGCAGGTCCTGAGTCAAGAGGTCCGGCAAGCCATCCTCCAGTAACGTGCACGGGAATGACGTCTTGGAATGGAAGGATGCAGCTGCCGCAGCTAGTAGACTCCACCTGTCTCCCCTGTTGAAGCTTGAAGATGTCACACCGGGCCCTGCGGCCAGGAAGGATGAGCGAGACGCGAAGGCACCGAATCGGGTGTAGAACATTTCTGCATTCCAGAGCCCAGTCATCAACAACGAGGTACTCGTCACTTGGGGCGAAGGTCTCCAGAGCAGGCCACCATTCCTTCGGCGTGGCTTTGAACACTTGTAGGATCACTGACGTGCTGCCAGGGTACTCCGACGGGGGGTACTTGCTCTTGATTTCTTTTTTGGTCATACGTCGTGAGCCTTCCTTGGTGGGGACGAGCAGGTGACCCAGCCGAACTTGATTCTCTAGCAGGAACTTCTCTTTCTTGCGACGTCCGAAATGTAGGCCGGAAGGTTTGGGTATAAACCTGTTGAAGGCAATCGGCTCCGCCATGAGGCACCATGGGTTGAGCAGGGGGGAGCGAACCTGAGAGGGAAGGGACAGTACTGCTTCCAATTCTGCACGCACTCTTGCAGGGATGTGGGGGGGAAGGAACTTGATGATGGAGGGATGTGAAAGAAAACAGTGAAGGCCATAAGGGAGTGGGACACATGATTGTGCAATGTCCTCGTAGGGAGTGGCTGCAAACCTCCTGGCTGCCCGTTGTATGTTCAGTGCCCGAATGAGTGTTGATGGTTCCGTTGCACCGACCCCACCGTGTTGCTTCCTGTTATACATGATCCGTTTAGGGATGAGTCGGACAGCCATGCCATGTTGTTTATACTGAGATGCCGAGAAGAAATTCCCGACGATCCTGTCAAGTTGAGTAATGATGAGAGAAGGGGGGGGTTGGAACCGACCGCCATAGGAGAAGAGAGAGGATAGGCGTTCCGAGGACAGATTTGATCGACAAGTGGTTGTGACTTTAAGTTATGCGAGCAGTTGGGCGTTGGACCGAAGTCCCACGAGGATGTTGTCCCACGTAGTGGTTCCGGTTTGTTCTTGTTGAACATACACTCCGAGGATCCTTTCCGCTTCGGCAGGGGTTCGGATGGGAATCAAACCAGAGTGCTGTAGCGGGGTGGATGGAGGGTGTATAGGGAGGATGGAGCATTTTTCCCAGTTGGGATACTCTCCAGAGACGGACGCAAATACTTGTAAGGCCTGCGTGGTGGTGTGGAGCTCTTGATCAGAATTCATGAAAATGGAAACATCATCGGCGTAACAGGCCATTAGACGTCTTTGAGAGCGATTGAAAGCAAAGCCGGGAAGTAGTGAATGAAGATACCTTTGCATGACCTCTACCACACATACAAAAAGAAGGGGGGCCAGAGGACACCCTTGTCTGACCCCAGTTCGTACAGGAAACGAAGGGCCAGAAAAGTTATTGACGGAGATACGAGTGTGTGTATCAGAGTGTAGCATATGAACCCACCTTATGAACGGATCGGGGATGCCGAGGTGTTCAAGGCATTGCAAGAGAAACCCTCTGTCCACCATATCGTATGCCTTACGGATATCTACCGTGAGGACCAGCAGCGGGTGCTCTTGGATTGTGGCCCAATCCATGAGGTCGAGCGTATCGTTGATCGTGTCTCCGATACGTCGTCCTCTGATGAAAGCGGCTTGCGCGGGATTGATGAACTTGGGAAGAACTGCTTGTAGTCGGCCTGCAAGTAGGATGGCGATGATTTTGTAATCAACATTCATCAGCGTAATCGGTCTTGGGTTCGATACCTCGTCAGTGTTGCCTTTCTTGGGAATGAGTACCGTCCTGCCAGTTCTCATAGAACGAGGAAGATTGGCCCTGGTTTTGAATGCCATTGCAGAGCCTGAGAAGTAAGGGAGAGAAGAGATCTTTGTAGGTACGGAACAATTCCCCAGGCAGTCCGTCAGGACCAGGAGTTTTTCCTCTAGAGAGGCGGCCAAGAGCATTCTGAATTTCAGGAAGGGAGAAAGGTCTGCATAATCGGGAGGAACTGGGAGCGGGGAGAACTGAGGGCACCACATGCTGCCAAAAAGCACCTCCCGCCTCTACCGGTGTTGCTCCGCTATACAATGTTGAAAAATAATATGTGCGGAGGGCTGACATGCCTGGGAGGTCAGAGATGAGGGAGCCAGAGGGATGTTTGAGATGCGGAATGACCGAATCTTTGATACGACGTTGAAGGCCAACCAGTAGGGAAGATACACCCATTTCGCGGGAACCTTCCACCTTGAGTTTAGCTTTCAGCGCAATTTCCGAGGAACGGGAGAGCTCATAAGCTTCCAGGCTTTTTTAGAGTAGGCCGAGACGAGCTGAACCAGCTTGGTCAGAGGGGTTTTTAAGTAGGTGAAGTTGTAGCTGACAGACTTCATCATTGAGGTGGGTGGTAGTTTTCTGGACTCGAACCTTTTCCTCCTTGCTAAACCATCTCAGTTGGCGGCAAAGACGATCCTTCCAGCGATCCCAATCGTCCATGGAGAAGTCGATCGGCAGGGACTGCGACGCGGATTCCATGGTCGCACGAACAAACGGTTTAACCAGCAAATGTTGGGGAAACCGCCACGGACGTGGGGCCATAAGCAGATTTCTGAAACGAAGCGAAACTAGAGGACCTCTGGTGTGATCAGACATGAGAGGAGGAACAGATGAGTACGAGGTTTCTCGAATGCGATCAACCCAAGAAGACGAAACATAAGTCCGATCCAATTGAGAAGACGAAGGGGCGACGTTAGGAGTGGCAGAACGTGGGTGGGCAACGAAGGAAAACATGGGTTCACGCGGAAGATTGTGTCTATAGCTGTCAACCAACGAGTTATCTTGAATGATACCTCCTAGCAGACCAGCTTCCGTGACTTCCACAGGTTTTAACGGGCGATTCCTGTCGATAGGAAGTGTTACAGCGTTGAAATCTCCAGTGAGAATAGTGGCTGAGCTCGCCGAGGGAAGATCGAGATAATGGGCCACCGTAGAAGACCACCATTCTCGACGGTCAAGGTAGCTTTTGGGGGCGTACAGGGCAAGAATACGAAATTGATCATGGAGAAAATTACAATGCACATACAAACATCGGCCGTCACCAGATGACTCACGGCATGAGATTGAAATTCTTGGATTAAAAATGAGAATGGCGATACCACCTGGTTTGGTTAGGGAGGGAGATACTCGTGGCGGAACTTGCGCGTATGCAGACAGGCGAAGCTTATTCATGAGATGTTTGAACTTATCTGATAACCGTGTATCGACCAGAATCAGGATGTCAGAAGGGTGTCTAAAATGCCATGATCTAAGAATTTCCATTTTTTGGGGGAGTTGATGCCATTGATGTTTAACGTTTGAATACGGACTTGTGTATCCATTATTCAACCATTGCCGTGGCCCCTTGTGCTTGAATAAGCACACATCCACAGGGGAGTGAAGAATGAAGACTGTCATCATAAGTCAGAGATTGTTTTTTTGCAGGGCTAGCACACCTGCAGTTTGAGACAGGAAGGTAGTGTGATTGAAATGTCAAACTGCTCTCAGCAGTAACTTCACAGTGACACAACATCTGATCATGAGCTATGGTACAGAGAGCTCTCGGATACCAGAACTGAACATTTAACCCTGTGCAAGGAATCCCGCAATAGTAGCATGTTGGTTGAATTCGTGTGCCTTCATCTCTCCGAACTCCTCGATGGGAGAAGACCTGCCCGAGAGGGTCTGCAGCGCAGAGGTGTGGGCATGGCTGGCCATGTGCTCCATAGCACTGTCCAGGGCCCAGCCGCATCGAAAGGCACACAGCCCGCAAGTCCACACTTTGACCTCTACATCCGTCCCAATGAACATCATGCCCGGGTCTGCCTTGAAGGAGACCACGGCAGAGTGCTGCCCAATGATCCTGGCTGTAAGGGGGTGGCGTAAAACGTAACACAAGGAGACACCAACCAGTGGAAATCATCCCAAAGTGATGCACACATGATTTTGAGCTAGTCGCGCAGCGTATTATAGAGCGGAACGGTAAGCAGCTATAGACGGAGCGGTAACCAAGAGGCTCAGGGAGGCAGAGATGGAAGCATGAAACAGTTATCCAGAGAAGCAAGTAGAACAGTAGAACGGACAATGACCACCACAGGAAGACAGGCCGATTCACATAGAAAGAATTCGTACCATTGACGTTCTGCAGTTGTGCCAGGGTGATGAGAAACGGGTTACTGATACGGTTCCTCCTCATGGCAGCGAAGCAGCTGTGATCGCGGGTACGGTGGTTGCTCGGGCAGACCGAGCACGAGTGTGAAGATACGTTGACCAGTATCGGCTCCTGCACGTCAGGTAGCCAGATGACAGCCGGAATGGCCTCGAAAAGGGGATCGTTGGGGGAGGCGACGGGTACCCCCAACAGCTGGGGCAGGAACGATTCGTCGTATGGATCGTACAGCTTGTGAAAAAAACTCAGGTCGCTCAGCCACTTAACCCCTTCGACCGAGCGGTTCGTAACCAGCAGGTTGCGGATGTCCTCGGTGGAGATCCCGATCGGAATGTTACGCAGCACCAGGATGGTCTCACCGCGCGCCTTCGCCGCGGAGAAGTCGGGATTGGGATCTTGAAAGAGCTTGATCTCCGCAGAGGGGCCCTCCGAAAAGCGGTATGAGATCGGGAACAGCCTGCGAAACCTGTTGGCATCGTCAACCGACTGCCACTGAAAGACATGACGGTAGTAAGACTTGCGGGGGAGACGCAGAATTTCTCCAGCAGATGCTTCAAAGGCAGGAACCCGGCCACCGGCAAAATCGCGCCCTCGCAGCACACTACGCACACGTGTAACGATACGGCTGCGGTGAGCCTCCAAGGATTCCGGAAACAGGATGACAACGACCGATTCGGTATCACGGACAATGGAAGCGACAATGACACCAATGGTATCTCTGTTACGACGAAGACGACTGAAACGTCCAGTAATAGAAAGGGCAGGAGTAGGGCCGACTTCCTGGGCTGGAGCAGACGAAGCAGGCGCGGCGTTGGAAGGACCCGCCACAGGGGCCATTAGTGGAGTAACCGGAGGTCGCGCAGGAGCCACCGGGGGGGCCACGGGCGTCGAGCTGGAAGACGCAGCGGCACAAACCCGCTTTGCTGGGGGAGGAGCAGAGACAGCAGGAGTAGCGGTCTCCTCAGCGAAAAACGATTCGACAGAGAAGGAGTTATTGAGCTCCTCCTCGCCCATCAGCTCATCAGGGTTGTGGTGCGGATCCATAGCTCGGAGTGGTAAGGAATCAACATCCTGATAGGCCGATTTATAGAAACAGAAAGCATGACTGCCAGAATGCGAGAGCCACGGTAGCAGTTCGAGTCGCGAACAGGCACCACATTGTAAGATGTTGAATTGAGAAATTGAAAAAGTGTGGCATAGGCAATGGCCGCCGCTCACAAAAACCAGCACGGATCCAGGTAAGAACCAGGGAGTCGCGTTTTCTGCATGCTGACCCCCAAGCAGTGCTTGGGTCAGCAGAGGTGAAGCTGACGAGTTAGGCTTGAGCGTGGAGAGCTTGCCATCGTGGAGGAGAACGTAGAGGAGGAATACAAGGTGCGCAGAAGTGAGAATGGGACCACAGAACCAGTGAGGTAGAGCGGATGAGGACTGAAAACCGGCTGTAAACAGGCGAAGGGACCCATCAAACTCATGGCAGCAAACACGGTGGCAACCAAGCCATGGAACCTGGTAAAAACGGCTTGCATGGACGAACCAGGTCGCAACACGCAGAGATTGGACTGGGCACCGGGACGACCACTCATGAGTCAACACCGAAATATTCACAAGGAGGAATAAGCAAGATAACGTTGATTGTGCAGGAGTGAAGGAAACCCCACGTGTTAGAACTTGAAGACAGTTTTGGTAACCAGAATTGACGAAGAGGCCACTGAGTTTGAAAACTACCTGCCCAAAAAGTACAAACCACACCAGACACACCAAAACCAAAACCAGAGAAGTGTAGGAAAAACACGTAAGGGAAACGGACTCACCTGTCGCGAAGTAGCCATAAAGGAAGATAAGCCAGCGGACAATGGTCCTGGCATGCAGGCTGACACGGCGACGAAACAGAGGTGGAGAGACCAGAGTTCCCACGCACGGAGGGGAGGAGAGGTTCATGGCTGGTTGTGTATCGTGTGTGACTAGGAGGAGGGGGAGGGATGAGAAGGGCAGAGGGGAATGCAGGGGGTGGGGGAGCTGTTTGGTCAGACACCTGACAATTGGGGGTGGAGGGAGGGAGAAGGGAAATGAGGAGGGTTCCGAGGTGGGTTCCGAGGTCGACTTTTCCCCCCTGGGCAAACATGCAAGATGGGAAATTTCGCATCGTGGGGCGGTAGTTTCCCAAGGGAAATGACGAACTGCGTGCTGAATTTCGCGCGCCCATCAGAGGGATAATTCCAGACCGCTGTTTAGTGCACCCAGGGTACTTGGGACTGCGAGGGTAATTTATACAGAAAATCGAGCCCCAAAACACACATCACCCCTTGGACCAACTTCGAGCGTGTTTTCTTTTACGATTTGGGAGGTGCCACCCTGGTTGGGCTAGACCGTGTTGTCATTGGCGTTTTTTTTGGGTGGGAGGCTGGTGTTCCCACGCCCAGCTCCTCCCTCCCGTCACCATCGCACTTCATCGTGAAGGGTGGGTGGCCGATGGCGGGGCGAAGGCAAACAAATTTGCCAGAGGAGGAAGGTGGTGAAGGGAAATAGGAACCTTCCTGGTGGGGCATTTCCATCGAGGGAAACGACTGTTCTGCAGGCATTTCCCTTCGTCTAGGTTCGGAAGGAAATGACTGCCACGTCGGCATTTTCCGGGCTGACCGCCATTTCGAACCTAAAATTGCAGAGGCAGGCAGCTTCCCATTTTCCCTCCCCTTCCCTCCGTGATGCCTACAGAACGACGCCAGTGTTTGGCGTCCTCGGGACTTTCGACCCATATTCCCTCAGTCGCTCGTACGGAGACGCTCGCGTACTCGGTTGGACATTGGATGCCTTGATGTTCGCGGACGTGATGAGGCGTTACAGTTCGGTGCTTTTGGTTATGAAACATCTAGCGTGGTTCCAGAGCTAGAAGGCTAATTAATACTCTCAAAGTTAGCGAACAACGGAATGTGTGAACTAGGGAAACAAGGGATACAAATAGCAACCCTAAAAGTGTTGTACTCCCTAGAGTGCTACTCACTGTAGCCTAAGAACCTATAATAACATTTGACACACCCCCATAGGCTAAGTGAGGGGCATCAAAGCAAGCAGGGTGAACAAACGGTCACAAGACCAGTCAATGCAAGAAGCAAAGCAAGCTCAGGGTGGATCTCAAGGACACCACACAAATTCCGAGCACAAGCAAGCGGCCACAAGGCCAGTTCAAGAGTTCACTAGGATATATATAGCAAAGCACAACAAGCAGAGCAAACAGCAAGTCTACAGCAACCGAGGGCCTACCTCAACAAGCCCCAACTGCACACAGAACCTGTGGTGGTCACCAAGCGCCAGGGCCTTGGTGAAGACGTCTGCAGTGTTGGCCTCTGAGGCCACAAAGTCCAGGCGTGCCTGGCCGCGTCGCTGTAGCTCTCGCAGAAGGAAGTACCTCACGTCAATATGCTTCACTCTGCTCTACTGTCGAGGCTCTCGACACAGGAGGATCATGGCCTTGTTGTCAGCGTACCAGGTCGGTGCAGAGCGAGGCCGCTCACCAAGGTCGGCGAGCAAGAAGGTCAACCAGCGAAGCTCCTGTGCCGCCATGGCACCAGCGTATATCTCTGCCTCTGCACTGGAAGTAGCCACAGACGACGACCGTGTAGACCTCCACGACACAGCACCAGCACCCAAACTGAAGCAGTAACCCTGAGTCGAGCGCTGAGTCTCCACGTCGTCAGCGTAGGAAAAGTCGCAGTGACCAGTCAACGCCACTGGCTGAGTCCCTCCAAGCACAAGCCCCATGCCTGATGTAGTCGCCAGGTACTTCGCCACCCTCACAGCAGCTGTCCAGTGGACAGGACGGTGTCTCCCAGTCGCAACAAAGCGAGAGAGGACGCTGAGGGTTTAGGTCCGGCCGGCCGAGTACAAGTCGTCAGGTACATGAGGCAGCCCACCAGCTCTGCGTAGGGACCACTGGACTCAAAAGGCTCGTCGAGAAAGGGGCCAGTGAGTCTGTGGTCAACAGCAACAGGTGTGGGCTGTGTGGTGGAGAACTGGAAGTCGAACCGCCGAAGGACCTGCTGCACCATGTGTGACTGAGTCAGTGTGATGGTGCGAGCGGCTCTGTCCCTGGTGATCTGCAGGCCAAGGTAGTGCTGCAGTTCACCTAGGTCAGTGCACGTGTGTCTCTTCTGCAGTTCGGACTTCACCTGAGCTAGAGCTGCCCTGTCTGCTGTGGCAAAGACCAAGTCGTCGACGTACACTAGTATAAAGAAAGGAGTGGAACCAGTGCGAACAAACAGCGACGGGTCGGCAGAGGAAGGACAAAACCCAAGGTCACGAAGCGTGGAGCGAAGAGTGTCGTGCCACTCACGGGGCGACTGGCGGAGACCGTAGACTGGCCGTCTCAGGCTCCACTGGGTCCCAGGTGGGAAGGTGTCAGTGAAGCCAGGAGGGCGGCGCAGCCAGATCTCCTCGTGTAGTCGGCCCTGGAGAAACGCAGTAGAGAAGTCAAGGGAGTGCAGCTCGTAGTCTCGCTGTGCTGCTACGTGCAGTAACACCCAAAGAGTAGTCATCTTCGGGGTCGGGGCGAAGGTCTGGAAGAAGTCAACTCCCTAACGCTGACTGAAACCCCTAGCCACGTAGCGCGCCTTGAACACAGGCGGTGATCCAGGCGGCCGCTTCACCTTGAAGAGCCACATGCCATCGACTACGTTCGCCCTGGGAGGGGGAACTGCGTCGACGTACGTGCCTGTAGATCTCCAAGACGCTAACTCCGAGGCCATAGCCGCTTTCCACTGTGAGGCCCACGCCCCTGACACTGCCTCGCAGTAAGTGCGAGGAGTCGGTATGTCAAGGGCGTCGTGGTCTCCCTCAGGGGATAGCAGCATGGCAGAGGCAGAGGGGGAAGCAGCTGCCCAGTACTCCAGCTCAGACTCTCTGTCCTCTAGGACGTCACAGCCAAGGGCAAACCCACCCCCGACGGACAGAGGACGGGAGGGAGGAGCTGGCACCACACGGGTGGTGTAGTCAAGGCGACTGGCGGCAGCAAACTCAGCGACAGCGGCAGTGAGAGCCGAGACAGACGACGGAGGGAAACGAGAGTCGGTGACAAGAGTGGCGAGGACACGAGAGACAACAGGACGAACAGCGCGGTAGTAGTCAGTGACAGGAGTAGGGGGGAAAGGGAGAGAGGACGGAGGCGGAGACGGGAGAACGGACTCAGGAGGAGGACGACGAGGAGACGAACAAAGGAGGGCAGTGCGGAGGTCGGTAACGGGAGACGAGTGACGAGCACGCGGAGGACAGGGACGGACACGAGAGTGTGGGACAACAGGTGGAGGAGACTGCGGTGGAGGAGAAGACCAGACCGCCGGACTGTCGTCAGGAGGAGGAAACGTGGGACCAAACGCTGGAGGGGACGGAGTGTGAACAGGAGGAGAGGAGGGAAGACCAAGGGCCCGAAGGCCACTCACGGGTGGGAACAACTGCCGCTCCAGAGGGAGCTGCTGTGGTCGCAGCTGCGGCGGCGGTGTCTGCTGCTGCTGCGGCTGCTGCTGCTGCTGCGGCTGCTGCTGCTGCTGCGGCTGCTGCTGCTGCTGCGGCTGCTGCTGCTGCTGCGGCTGCTGCTGCTGCTGCTGCTGCTGCTGCTGTTGCTGCTGCTGCTGCTGCTGCTGCTGCTCCAGCAGGTCCAACTGCCGCAACTCCTGCCGCTCCCTCTCCAACAGCACCTGCTCCTCACGCTCACGCCGACGGGCCGCCTGGAGACGTGTGTCGTGGCGGTGGGGAGGCGGAGTGGACTCCGCAGAACCAGTGCCTCCAGCTCCAGTCTCCTCAGAACCAGCACCTCCAGTGCCAGCGCCTCCAGCACCAGCACCCCCAGAACCAGCACCCCCAGGACCAGCACCTCCTGTGCCAGCACCTCCAGCTCCATCACCCCCAGAACTAGTACCGCCAGTGCCAGGACCTCCAACTCCAGCACCCCCAGAAGTAGCACCTCCAGTGCCAGCACCTCCAGCTCCAGCACCCCCAGAGCTAGCGCCACCTGCGCCAGCACCTCCAGCTCCAGCACCCCCAGGACTAGCACCTCCAGTGCCAGGACCTCCAGCTCCAGCACCCCCAGGGCTAGCGCCACCTGCGCCAGCACCTCCAACTCCAGAACCCCTCAAACGAGCACCCCCGGACCGAGTACCGCCAGTGGCTGCACCTCCAGCTCCAAAACCAACTGAGTCCACAGTAGCCTGTCGCGGAAGTACCGAAGGCTGCTGAGGGGACTGTGAGGAGGACTGCGGGGAGGGAGCCGCTACCTGACGCGCGACCGAGGGTAGAGGGGTAGCGTGAGACACACCTGACGGGGCAGGACCAGGGGGGGGTGGGGGTACCGGAGGAGCGGGAGCAGGGGGAAGAGAGGGTGCGAGGAAAAGGGGGGGAAGGGGAACCGGGAGACCTCGACAGGGGTACCGGGTGTAGTAGGACACTGACTCGTCGAACCGGACGTCACGGGAGTCTAGGAACTGGTGGAGGGGCGGGTGGTAAAAAGACCAGTCGGCCGAGGCTACCGGGAAACCAAGGAAGACACAGGGGACGGCGCGAGCCGAGAGCTTGTCCGCAGAGGTGTCGCGGACAAGCTCAAGGCAGCCCCAGACACGAAAAGCTGACCCAACACCAGGGGACCCGGTCCAAAGACTGGTCGGTGAAGCCTCTGGCCGCGAGACGCGCGGCTGGAGGTTCAGCTGGTGAGCGGCGTAGCGAACCGCGTAGGGCCATAGAAAATGGTTCAGAACCATGTTGAGAACCATAGTAGTTAGGAAACTTAGGAGATTAGGAACTAGGGTTTTGGAGAGGTTCAGCAAGGAGAACCATGGAGAGGGAAGTTGGCCAAAAGAGGAGTTTCACTATGGAATGAATACAAGATATAGGAATGGGCAAAAGGGAGGGTACACCACCAGCAGTTGATGCTAATACCTAAACTAGTACACTAGCTAGCTGTAGGCAGTTATAAGATATGCAATATAATTCAACACACCCCCGTAACTGCCTACGGCTATAGCTAGTGGTGCCTGGCACCAGGTCGCCTGGAGAGCGGTTGCTGTAGCTGGGATAGGCACAGAAACAGCGGTGGCTGACCGGCAGCACCTGTGAACGCCAGGACGGAGGAGGGCGCGGAGAGCGCGGAGGAGGGCTGGGATAGCCGGAGGGCGAAGGATGCTGGTCGCTCGCCATCTACGAGCAAACACAACTGTTGGTGAGGAGGAGGAAGCTGCTGGTGGTGCACAGGAGGAGAGCAAAGGAGAGGCGGCTGGAGGAGAGGAGATAGGAGGAGGAGATGCGGCTGGAGGAGAAGAGAGGAGGAGGAGATGCGGCTAGAGGAAAGGAGAGGAGGAGGAGATGTGGCTGGAGGAGAGGAGATAGGAGGAGGAGATGCGGCTGGAGGAGAGGAGAGGAGGAGGAGATGCGGCTGGAGGAGAGGAGAGGAGGAGGAGATGCGGCTGGAGGAGAGGAGAGGAGGAGGAGGAGAGGAAGTGCAGCGGAAGGAGGAGGAGAAGGGGGAGGCGGCTGCCTGCACATACCCGCCACCCCCACACCCTCTTCCCCCCCCCCCCAAACGCGGCACGGACTGCAGATGCACGGGCAGCGATGAGGAGGAGGATTAGGGAGGGGCAGGAGGGTTCAAGGGGGCTTAAGCACCCCCGTAGCCGCGGGCGCGAGCCTCGCCACCTCCCCCCCGCAACGTCCACCGTAGAAGAGAGCGACGGCAGGTGCGGAGGCGGGGAGCGGGGTGGCGATGGCAGGGGCGCTGGCGGCCGCTGCTGGCGCTGGCGCTCGCGACCGGCGCTGGCGCATGCCGCTGGCGCTGGCGCTGACGCTGGCGCTGGCGCTGGGGACCGGCGCTGGCGCTGGCGCTGGCGCTGGCGACAGTCGCTGGCGCTGGCGCACGTCGCTGGCGCTCGCGCTGGCGTCAGCGACGGTCAGAGGCGCTGGTGCTGGCGTCCGCGACCAGCGACGGGGCGACGCGACAGCGCGCGGGACGGGGCGACCAGCGCGTGGGGCGGGTAGCACGGGGCGTTCAGCGCGGGGCAGGCAACGGGCGAGCGCCTCGAAGGGCGCAGCAAAGGTCGCCATGGCAACGATGGCAGCCATGGCGAATGAAAAATAATAAGGTCCTTAGAAGGACCCAGCTCTTAATACCATGTTGAGAACCATAGTAGTTAGGAAACTTAGGAGATTATGAACTAGGGTTTTGGAGAGGTTCAGCAAGGAGAACCATGGAGAGGGAAGTTGGCCAAAAGAGGAGTTTCACTATGGAATGAATACAAGATATAGGAATGGGCAAAAGGGAGGGTACACCACCAGCAGTTGATGCTAATACCTAAACTAGTACACTAGCTAGCTGTAGGCAGTTATAAGATATGCAATATAATTCAACAAATACTGCCAATCCAGCCCTCATACAGTGCTATAAGTTTAAAGCAGCTAATAAAGCAGCTCCGAATCAGAATTTATGAAGTTTAAATTTATTAAATATCAACTTAAATCGAATAACCCCTAAATTGAGATGTCAGGAAGCAATGCAACTAGCATTAACGTAGAAAACATAAATATCACTCAAATAATTTGCTATTATACAGTCCTAACAATTATATGGGAGCCCATACTACTGACCATCAGGGTGTAATCCCCCACAGGCCAAATTGCGCACTTGTTCGCGGACCATACCTACCGACGGACTGGAGAAGCCATACGAGAAACTTGCTCTCCGTCCTCCCGAAACAGAAACTTAGGGCTTGTTCGTAGTTTTGACACCAGTGTCATTTTGCCATTTTGACACTAACAACATTGTTGGCAGAGTGTCAAAATTTTGCAGATTGTTAGCCAGTAAAACTAGCCGGATACCGTTGACTCTGACAGAGTCAATACCTAAAAATCAACCAGGTTCGTCGCAGCAGCAAAACTCTTCTCCCCTACTGATCAATCGAGATGCACCGTTTCCTACGAAAAGCCTAGGAGCTATTAAAATATTTCGCTGGCTTGGACATGCACCAATCATTCAGTACACGATTTGTTCGCAACGAATCAGATTGCGTCGTTGATGCTTTTCAGCGCGCCTCGGGTTGACACTGATGCTACAGTGATTGACACGCTAAATCACGCGCGCTTCGGGTTGACACGCATAAACGCCTGGTGTCAAAGCCACGAACAAGATCTTACTGTACATCACCCTGAATGCTGCACTTCAGAGAGAGGCCGCACATTGCTTGTCATACGCGCGTGTGCTTTGTTGGATATCAGTTGGGGTTGGGTTGGGGTGACCATGTGTGGTGGACATGTCGTTACGAGAGCACTCTTTCTACCCGAGCTTTTGCTCAGCTGATGTCGGTGTTTCAGTTCACATCTTGTTGCAGGGGGAGGTGGCTTTGGGTTTGTTTAAGAAACTATCCCTGCACCAAATTTTAGTAACTAGCTCTGAGCTTGTGTGGGTGCTCACGGTGAAATTTGCTTAGCATCGTCACTACTGGGAACATTTAGCAAACTCACGCCTGCACCAAAATGTAGTGCCACGGGAGATTGTCATACATTTCCAAGCTCCAGACTGCCATACACGTCAGATGGGGAGACCCACACGTATACCAGACGTTTTCAGGTGCAATTACATTTGTGGACGTGAATTATCAGCTTGCCCGCCTCCCGTTTCACCACCACCCGACGGATGGAACTGTACAGTTTCTCGACAACGCCACCAACCAACGACTAGCCACGCCGTTTTGTGGCAAGGGGAAACGCCAGCTGTGTGCGTCCAACAGAAAATTGTCGGTGCGCAGGAGAGTGTTGTGTTTCCCTTCCCCCTCATCCACTGGAAGGAAGGGGAAGAAAGGGGTGATGCAGTAGTGATGATGGGTGATGGGGTCTGGTAATGGGTGATGTGGTGTTGTGGTGAAGGACTTTGGAAAGCAGGGCTTGAAGGGAAAGGCAGGTGAGGTGAGGCTGTTCTGTTGGAACTGCGGAGTAGTGGATTTATGGGCGAACCCAGCCCATTGCAATAATGAAAAGCAAAACTAGGGTTTGATGAAGTAGTATTCGCGCACGATAAAAATAGCGACAATAATTCTGCTACCCAATTCGATAGAAAATTACAGCGCTTCGGATGCTCGATTGTTCACCGCTTAGCTTTTCGTTCCTCACAAACGCGAAGATAGCGAACTGCATACAAGAACAGGACGCCTACTAGATAACAGGTTCCAGTCACGGGATGAGGCCGACCATAGGAGCAGGTCCAAAGTCCGTCGTCAGTATCGCCCTCCTCGTTATTTGTCTAGCTTGCAATGTCGCGGCTGCGCCGCGTGCCAAGATCGCGCCGGGAAGAAGAGAGCTGACCGGCGCTAGCAGTGCCATTCAGAAAGCTCGTAGATTCAACGTTTTCCTGATTCATATGAAGAAAACGAGTAAGCATTCTTTGCTTGTTTCCCAACTTCCCTTCATCCACCGTTCCCTCCCCTCTTTCCTCCCTCCCCTCTTCTATGACTCCATCGTCGTTTTCCCTCCCAACTTGACCCTCTCCCTTTATTTCGTCCTCCACTTTTCATCATCCCCCCACTTCCCCATCATCCATGCTCCCCCTTCTCTCGCCCTCCTTTCCCTCCCTTCAGATTTGGATCCGTTCATTGCAAGATATGCGGACCGGCAGCCACTCACCTTTCTGATGCCCCGCGACGAAGCGTTCTCCGCACTTCCAGTCAATATCCGCAAGCAGTTATCGGGGAAGAAGCTGGTGCAGGTCATGCAGTACCATATGATCATGGAGAAGTGGGGGATCAATTTCCTTTCTTTCCCGAGAAATCAAAGGTTCTTACGCGCCTTTCGTACCGTACTTGGGTCTTACATTTTCGTACTTCCAAATGACGTGAACAGGTTGGTGAGGGTGAGTTCCGTCAGGTATGCCACTGCGAATACAGCAACCGTCATTTCCGGTGACATTGGTGGAATGAATACCTTTCTTCGATTTGCTTGCCATGGGATTGACAAAGTTATTATCCCTCCTGGGGTTTTTTAGTTGAGGGATGGTTACATTAGATAGTTTTGCATGGTAAATAGTATTGATATAATTTTATGTTGCTCATCCTGTAACATACTAGTCATTGCTAATGGTCTGCATTGTTGCAGTTTTTTTGTCTCCGTGGTTTCACTCAATCTCCAACAAGTCTAATATTGGCTTTCCAGCAAACGCTGATCATCACTAGGCTTATCACCGTTGAACTCTTCTCTCCTTGCCAGTGATTCCCAACAGGGATTTCCTCATTTTTCACTACTTGATACAACAACGTACGGTAGCTGGCAAACGGGATCTTGCATACAATGCGAGCAACGCACAAAATACATGTAGCTGTATTAGTTCCCTAATGTCGCACACACAGACCCGAACCTCCGCTTGACGCTTTTTCGCGGACAACCCGAACCTCCGGCTGGCCTTTGAACCAAAATATCTCGCGGGTTTTTTTTTTTTTTTTTTTTTTTTTTTTTTTTTTTTTTTTGTCAAATATACACCGGAGATACAAGTGCATAGAAACATATATCAGTCGTAACTGAGCGTGAGAGGCCAGGCACCACGCCTGCCTCATGGGAAGCTTCTAAGGGGGATGAAGAGCCCCTCGTGAGAGATTCCACAGCGCGCCAAAGTGATGTGCCCACTTCCAACCTTTGCCCTCCAGCGTTCGAATACAGCCAAGGAGCTGAAACTCCTGGCTCGAGAGTTGCAGCAGCGTGGTCAGCTTCGTCTTGCTCACGTGGCCACTCGGGCCAACACTGCTGATATATTCACCAAGGCGCTTTTGTCTGGTGATCATCAGCGTTTCTGCACTCTGTTAGGCCTTGTGCCCACGTTTCCTCATTTGCTGTAGACTTTGCTTGTACTGTGATCTATATATATACCTGCATGCTTGCTCTGCTAGGTAGAGATCACTGTGCTGTTGTTGTTGCATATATACCTCTGCATGTGAACTGGCCTTGTGGCCCTTTGCTTGTGCTCAGTGTGTGTGGTGACGTTGTGATCCACCATGAGCTTGTTTTGCTTCTCTTGACTGGTCTTGTGACCCCTTGCTCTCCCCCACTTTGCCTATGGGGGTGTGTTAAAGTATATGCATGTTATATATGTGTAGGCTGTAGTGGGGTAGCCAATATGGGGTACAGCTCCTGTTAGGGTTTCATATTTGTTACTCTTTCATAGTTCATTGATTCCTGCTGCTAGATTCTCACGCCCCCTTCATCCACAGGCTGGTGAAACATGCAACGGCTACAACAGAAAAACCAACGGCTACTACTGCAGAGATCCGGCCCAGACGTTCAAGATCTTCCCTCAGCACCCATAATCCTTGCGGATGATGTTCAGGTTCAGCTTCTCGAGAGAGATGCGAGTGGCTGCACCCAGCTTCTCCAACCCCAGCAGATGGCTTGCAAAATATCTCGCGTTGACTTGCGTTGAGTAACCAAAATAACTCAGGTCGTCTTCCCACGGATAAACTGTATCACCACCAACCAGAGACCAGCCAACAACGAGTCAGTCACCCCATTTTTCATCGAGGGGAAACGCCAGCAGTGCGCGTCCAACAGAAATTATTGGTCCAGAGGGGATGACTTTGCACAAATCCTCTGCTGTGTTGGAGGGAAGAAACTGAGAAGGGGGACGCGGTGGTGGTGGTGGGTGGTGGTTGGTGATGGGGGTTTGTGGTGGGTGATGAAGGGTGGTTATGGGTAATAGTGGGTGATGGAGTGGTGGGCTTGGGAAGGGATAAGCAAACAGGCGACGTGAAGTCATGGGAATGCCAGATACAAGCCCACGGAACAGCCTCACCTCACCTCACCTCGCCGAACGATGGCCAATCCAGCCTACACTGGATGGAACTAGCCTGAATAGGAGGGTGTGAGAAAGTATGATTGTGTATGTAATCGCGAATCGCTTGCTTGGAATTCCAAGTTTAGGTGAGTGCAACGTTTGCGATGCTCCGCACTGCTCCGCTTTCCATTCCTCACAAGCGCGAAAGGTTGCAAACTGCATACGGAAACAGGACACTAGATGCTATTCGCCTAGAGTTTCAGACACGGAATGAGGTCGACCTCACGAGCAGTTCCAAAGTGCGTCGTCGGCATCGTCCTTCTCGTTGTTTGTCTAGCTTGCGATGTTACGGCTACGCCGCGTGCCAAGATCGCGCCGGGAAGAAGAGAGCTGACCGGCGCTAGCAAGGCCATTCAGAGAGCTCGTAGATTTAACGTTTTCCTGATTCATATGAAAAAAACAAGTGAGCATCCTTGCTTTTTTCGCGACTTCCCTCCATCCATCCCCCCTCCTCCCCCTCCCCCCTCTCCCTTTCCTCTGTCGTTCTCCATCAATAATCTACCTCGCCATTTGACCCCCTCTCCCGTCCCCTCGCCCCATTTTCATAATCTCTGCTTATCCTTCGAACACCCCGTCCTCCCCCTCTTCCCAGATTTGGATCCATTCATTGCGAGATACGCCGACCGGCAGCCACTCACCTTTCTGATGCCTCGCGACGAAGCGTTCTCCGCACTTCCTGCCAAAATCCGCTCAGTGTTATCGGGCAAGAAGCTGGTGCAGCTCATGCAGTACCATATGATAATGGAAAAGTGGGGGATAGACTATCTTTCTAACCCATTGTATTTAAAAAGGACACGATCCTTCCGTACAGTGCTTGGAGTGTACGTTCATGTACTTGAAAATCATGCAAACAAGGTCGTGAAGGTGAGTCCCGTCGGGTTTGCCACTGCGGGTACAGCATACATCATTTCTGGTGACATTGGTGGAAAAGACACCTTCCTTCGGTTTGCATGCCATGGGGTTGACAAATTTATCATCCCTCCTGGCTTGCTCAACTAAAGAATTTTATCCAGTAGCTGTGCAGTGCATGGTATAAAGAATTGCAAAATTCTTGATGCCTGTAACATACTAGATAGGTCAAAGCAGTCAGCAGAACATTTAGCAGGAGTCTGGAGTACTGAAATGACACTCATTATTTCACTCGTCTCCAACAAGCGCTATGAAAAATCCAGCAAATGCTGGGCAGGTCACCCTGAGAAGGCGCTACTGCTGGCGCCAGTCTTATTCCCTAATACCCCACCAGATATAATATCCCTCCACGACCATGGCAACGTTTATGAAAATAACTGGCCTTTTTTAGCATGTGGGAGTGTGCTTTAGTGCGGCAGCATCAGACTGCTAACGGAATGGACGTTTGCGGCAGTCCTTGCTGATAAAGAGAATGTCAAAATGGTTGTAGAACTTGTAGACCCCTTCAGAACAAGCTGAACTTTTCCAGGAATTGTTGAGTTGCGCTTCTCTAGCAAAAACCCAGCAAGTGTCTGGTACTCTGTACCCAAAGGATCTTGCTGAAGCTTAGCAGCGGTGGCCTTAGGAGTAAGGACGTGCAGCTGCAGTGTCTTCGTCAAGAAGGCGGGATCCTTTCTGATCCTTGTCTGAGTGAAAGAGTCACCTCAACATACGGGAAAGAAACTAAAGATTGAGGTTTTGCGATTGCTAAGCAACTCACCGCATTAAAGTCGCTGAGTTGAGCGAAGGCCTGATCCACAGGAGCGAGAATTGTGATGCCAGTCTCGGTCGTCGAAAGCAGCTTGGATAAGGAGCTTATTCCTGCACATGACAGCAGGACTTGAAATGAGATTATGCTAGCACATAAACAGGCAGAAGAAGTGCAGTCGCCCGCGAGTGGCGCGGACCTGCAAGTCGTAAATAACCCAGAAAGTTCCAATGCCTGTCAGTCTTCTGAAGCTTGGTCCAAACGTAGCTAAACTCCTGACTTCCATCCCTAAGCCTCTGGTCTTGAAGGGACAACTGGATGGTCGCGAGTAGGAGAATAATCAGTAACAGGCTTCTTGCCATGTCTTCCTACCTCTGAGGAATACTCCGCCTGCTTTTCGGAATGAATCTTCGCGAAGCGGTAGAATAGAGGCTGTATTGGGGATAGCAACTTCACGAGGATGGAATACATCGGTTTGTCTCTCTGACAGGGAATGATTTGAAGTATTCGCTGAATGGATCACAACAAAAGCCGCCTTTTCGCTTGCGTTTTCAAAGCGGGTTCTACAATTCAGGGGATGGATTGCCAGGGCTTATTTTATGAACCGCATGTTCCAATTCGTGTCACAGCTGCCCACTGCTAGAAATGAATCGCGTGAGACTGGTGACCTGTTTGGTTACATTTACGAGAGGAGTTACATGGATGGACTTGTCGAAACTAATACACGTCTACTTACAGGAACAAAGCCTAAAGATTCGTTCCCCCTTTCAACAATTCCCTCTCTTTTTCTGCAAGCTCCTCATCAAAGCATTTCGCTATCATTTGCTGACAGCGACCTTCTGACCCATCTAGTACCGACGAACCTCTCCGTTTGCTCCGTAGACTACTCGTCCATTTTCCACGTTTAGGACGTGTACGGAGAAATAATAATTTCCTTTTTAAGTCGATCCCTCTATTTGCCTCATCGTCTCCTATGAAGTTTATGCTGCAATGTTATCGTTTTCCATCGTCATCATCCCACTCTCCGCGAATTCAAACAGCTCATATGTTCCGCCGTCACTGTAAGCGGGGTGGTTTCATCCGTCACTTCTGGCTAGTGTTACTCATTGAAGCCATATCCATCGCCTTCTCCTCCACCCTCCCTTTCACTCCCGTTTCCGCCTTCAAGTTTGAACTCAACTCTCCCCGTTTCGGCCGGAAGCCCTTGCACCAGCGCTCTCTGCATCAACTTTCCGTTAACTCTCCTTCAAGAGCATGCTTACACACTGTAGAAGGACGCACCCTAATCGCGGATGACCAAGGTTACCTCTGCAATTGGACTGACCTAAATTTCAGCACAGGCTGCTGTCCGTATGCTCGCGAGGGAGTATCAGATGCCGGAGGAAGTTTGGAAACTGGAACCGGGCTTCCCTCCCATGATGAACGCGCCGGATCAGGGACGAAGTTTCAACAGATGTTGAGATTTTCTTGCCAGTCTTGTAACGTTACTGACCGGTGTTGCGAAGTCTACGAACAGTGTGTAACCTGCTGTCAAGATCCTGATCGTACTCCTCCTCGATTGGCCACAATCATCACCACTGCGGCTCAACCGTCAGCTGGACGATTTTCATCAGTCTTTGAATTCTGCCGCCACCGCTGCCGGCACAACTCGAAGAGTGTGGTTCATGAAAACGCTTACATAAGTGACAGACACCACTGCTACGGCCTGCCAGTTGAAGTGCAAGCAGCGGCCGATGCAGCAGCAAGCGCAGCAGCTGCTGCAGCTGCAGCCAAGAGGAAATCCCGAGATGGTGGCATTGGTAGTTCCGGTGGTGAGGGGTCAAAGGATGATATTACTTTGGATAACGTTCTTTCAGCTTCCGATGGAGACAGTGTAGTAGCAGCTAGTGAAGAGCCAAGGAGAAGCAGTGGTGATGCAGCTGCTGCTGGTGCTGCTGGTGGTGGTGCTGCTGCTGGCGGCGCCGGTGCTGCTGGTGCTGTTGGTGGTGGTGATGGTGTTGTTGGTGAGGGGAGTTTCCGTCAAGGACTGGAGGACGTGGAGTTGAAAATGGAGATAGGGAAGCCTGGCCAGTCCTGTGATGACACGTGTGCAGAGCGAGGCTTGAAGGTAAATTGGTTGTCTCAATGTGTGTTGCTTCCCATTTTTTCGCATGTAGTTTGTCATCGTTGCTGGATAGTACTGCCTTGTAATGAAAACGTGTTACTTCCTAATAGCGACAGGATCTGTGTCTTCCCTGTCACCCTTGCCTCCACCCGTTTCTTGATGCCACCCTTTCGATACGCCCTCACCTCCCTGCCAACCTTGCCCCCACCATGACAGTTTGTTTCTAAGCAGCCTTTCTCATGTCCCTCTCCGATGCATTGTCGGATCAATCTCCCCCCTCATTCGTGTTCCTACTTAACTCGCATGTGCATTGTTCACTTGTCTCTCCGCCGTCCTCAAAGTCCCCTACGCATTGTCGGTCAGTTTTTCCCCCCTGCAGTGTTTCCTTGTAACATCTTCGTGTCATCTGCTCTTATCTCCCTTCTCACGTACGTCGGTGTTCTTTATGTTCCCTGTTCATGAAAATCTCCAAACAGTGTCAGGCCGATCTTCTCCCGCGTATCAACAACTGTCCTCTGCTCCGTCATTTCTTCCCCTGCACGCCCGGCTGCTTCGCCTCTCTGGGAACAGAGCAGCCAGCAGAGGTGGTAGAAGCACCACTGGATATAGCATATGATACATCACAGCACATGCACCTGCTGGAATATCCATCTAGGCAAAATTCGCAGCAGAGGAAAATGCTGCAAGACCTCAGGGGTTCTTCGAGACAGGGTCAGGTAAATCAGCATGAGCAACAGCATGAGCAGCAGCAACAGCATAAACAGCAGCGGTCTCAGGCTCAGTTCGTGCCTCACACATGTCTAGTGAGCCTGGACCCGAATATGCCCTCCTGTGAAGGAAGCCACCCAGACATGCGTAGGCTGTGTCCCTGTAGCTTGGTGCGCTCTTGATGTGTTACGGTATATTTTCAGGCTGTGCCATGTGTCATTCCTGACTGCAAGGGTACTCATGTAAGGTACTCAGGGAACATTCCTGCCTTGACACAAATGTCTCAATTGCTTTGTGACACCCAAAAACTGCATACACTGTAGTGTGTCCCGAATGCGAGTCGCCTTTCAGCGACCACTGCAGTATTTTTTATTGGCCAGCGTGACACGCGCTGACGTCGCTGACGAATTGTAAACCGACTCGACATTTTTAGAAACTCGCATGCGGTTCGAAATGTCAATGCATCTGGACAGCCTTCAAAGCGAATTTCGCGCGGAAAAAAAACCCGCGCGTCTAAGCCACACGCCAGCCGAGCGATTGAAGAAATGGGTGTGCAGTCATTTGTTTCACCCAATCAAATACGCGCAACTGTGCATCTCGCCTGGTCGCCTAGTGTCGCGATACATTCTTCTTTTGTGACGCGAGAATGGCGAAATGTTTCGACACGACTCGGGAAAACGGGGATTGAGACACAAGTGTCAAGGCAGGAATGTTCCCTCAATTGCATAGGTCAATGGGGAGGTCCTGTGATTGGTTGTCACAAGAAGCATCACTGAAGCATCAGTTTGTGTTACAAAACCCTCTGCATATGATGACTGTCAGCAAGTGCCAGTCTTGCATCTAGTCCTTGTGGCGTTTAGTAGCTGCTTTGATATGCTTCAGCAACGACTCCAGTACCGCTGGGAATCCATTACAATGTATGGTGGCGCACAATGAACGCAAGCAGCACTTACCAGGCTTCAGCTGGAATGCTTCTGGATCCTGACTCAGATTCCGCCTTGAATAGAAAGACGGGTGCAACAAAATTGCGATTTTCCTGGATGCCTTGGTTCCTGGAACGGATTGAGGTAGAGCCATTCGTTGTGAAGAAGCCATTCGTTGGTCTGGACGGGCGATGCGCGTGGCACAAGAGCTCTCGCACTCGGAAACTCCACAGGCAGAGCGCTAAGTCAACCTATTTGGCAATTCTTTGAAATCTTCACATTAGTACCTCGCGCTACTCCCTGTGGACCGCAATCATATCAGGTGCCACCTGCGGGTTGGATTCATCCAAGCTTGCATCCTCTCCTCTCCCATCCAGTCTCACGCTTCCTGCAGTCCACGTCCATTCGTTCTCGGTTGCGAGTCTACATCGCGCGTAACTGAGGGATGCCAGGACGAATTTCCTCAGGCGACGTTACTGGGTTGGTCACACGCTGACAGTGTAGGAGAGAAATCCGTCAAAGCTTGCATCCTTGCCTCACTCATCAATTCCCGTCTTCGAATCCCGCTATTCACGTCCATTCGTTCTTGTGCTAAGTGACTGAACGTGACACGTTACGAAAACTGGTCGCGAGTCTATATCGCGGGTAGCTGAGGGATTCCTGGACAAGTATCCTCTGAAGGTTTTACTGGGCTGGTCACACTTTGACAGTGAGACATTGTACATAGTAGACATGACCACACGAGTCACATTGTTGACGTGACGTAGTACTGTTGTTGACAGGAATGGCGATCGTCAGTGGCGCGGGTCGGCCAGAATTCACAACAGAGCAGTATCTAGGCTGTGAGATAACCATTTGTTGTGCTCCTGTGATGTCTGTCGGAAATGGCAATTGACGTTTCCCTTGAGGTTGCCGTCTCCTATTTTGAGTGATTCGTGACAGCACAAGCAGATGGTGGAAACTAAAAGTATGAACCAGATGGTGGGGTCAAATACTCTCAAACATAGGCTACACAGGGGATTTTTTGTGTGGAACCGTATTTTCTCCTAAATTTTAAGTTCTACCGGCTTCCTTGAGCGCTTGTTGTGCAATTGGCCGCCATTGTTCCGCAAGAGACTCGTTCAACCCCATGCCCATGGCCAACCCTCTAAGCAGCTGCATGGTGCGCACCACAAAGAACAGATCCTCTGGGAATTTCTGCAAGGGAAGTAACAGAGAAGGGGAGGGGGGTGCGGGGGTGAACACACAATGATGTTTGTAACAGCCTTTGTTGATAACTCTTTTATGCTGCTGTGAAGGGAATATGGGACTTGTGATGCAGTGGTGGACGTGTGCACAAGGAGAAAGAATTGCACAGTTGATTGACAATAACAAAGCGAACTGACATACCTCAATTCCGTTCCTTTTCAGGGTTGACTCGCTCGCGAACGGGTTTGATGTCGTAACCCCCTCAGACACAGCAGTGTCAAACATGAGGGAAGACATGCGGTGGAAGCTCTTAGGATCTTCGAAAACCGTCTTGGTAGTCCGAATGCCCAAGGCTTGAAACAGCGAGCCTACTCTTGGCATGTCCTTATCAGCCATTGCTAGCATCAAGCGTGCCAGGTTCAGACGCAGAGAGTCCGGGAGGCGCTTAGTCTGACCGTAGTCCAACAAAGCAACCTGTATGCATGAATGGGAAATGGGGGAACCACAGTGGTTGAAACAGAAACAACGAGTCTTTGTCAGCCACTGCTAGCATCAATCGTGCCAGGTTCAGACGTAGAGAGTCTGGGAGGCGCTTCGTTTGGCCGTAGTCCAACAAAGCAACCTGTTTATACGATTGACAAATGGGACCAAAGTGATAGAAATGGAAATGATCAGGGATGTGGAATGAAGTAGCAAGCACTGTTTTGGGCTGAATGAAAGGTGATTTGCATGTGGAAGGATTTTCTGCATGACTGACCTTTCTGTCAGGGCAGATGAGGAGGTTTCCTGGGTGGGGGTCAGCCTGAAAGTGCCCATCCCGCAAGATCATCAGCCCATAAGCTGTCCCCAGTGACCGAAAGATTGACCTGTTCCAAGAAAGGAGGGTACAAGAGAGCAAAGACACGAGAAGGAGGCAATGTAAGAACAATATGAGGGGGGAATGATGTCCGTTACGGTTGTTTCACATCAAGAAGTTTGTGAGCTTGCAGTGGCATCGTGCCTCTCATCACTGCGTCTCTCCAAAAAGCCACCAAGTTGAGAGTCTTGACGAAGATTTTGACTCATCTCCTGCTCCATTGATAGCAGCCTTCAGTGCATTGCACTCGCCTCTTATCAGCCCTATAGCGTACCGCAGTAGCTCTATAGTGAATCACAGATTCTTCATAAAGCACATGTCACTCACCGCTTGGCCCTGGTAGCAAGGAAGCCATCGGGGTTGAGTCCCTTGGCTCTCATCTCTTCCTCCATCTTCACAAGCGGAGAGCCCTTGATCAGATCCATCACTAGCAGCCGCTGGGTGACCCATGGCGCTCACCTGTTGGCACTGGTACGCACCGCTTTGCCTTCATAGCAAGGAATCCGTTGGGGTTGATTCCTTTGATTCTCATTTGCTCCTCCATGCTGGCGAGCGGAGAGCCCTTGATCAGATCCATCACTAGCAGGCGCTGGGTGACCAGCCCCGGGATCGATGCAGGCACCACCACCGGGGAGGAACCAGTAGAACCAGTAGCCGTAGAACCAGTAGCAGCAGCAGCAGCAGCAGCAGTTGCAGCAGCAGAGCCAATGGCGCCTGCAGCAGCAGCAGCAGCAGTAGCAGCAGGGGCAGTGGCGGCGAGGGCAGTAAGAGCAGCGAAAGCAGTAGCAGTGGCAACAGCCCTTGAAAAGGCCTCCAGCTTGTTGCTCCTTGAAAAAGGGTTCCACCGTCTCCTGCTTTTTTGCCTCCGGTTTGTTGCTGCTGCTGCTCCCGTGCCTGATGCTGCCGAACCTGCCAGCGAGGCTGGGATGGTATCCATGGCTGCGGCCTCCCTGCGGAAGTCGAACTCGTACCGGATCTGCAGGTATGGATGGTTAAGGGGGGGAGTAGGGAGAGAACGAGAACAACAGAAGGCTAAAAACACAACAGAATGAAAATGAGTATGGTAAGGTAGACTTGGATCCTTGGCATGTGCGCACACACACATACTTGACACACAAACGCTTTTACACACACACACACGCGCGCGCGCGCACGCACGCACGCACACTCCCCCACACATCGACACCATAGCCCGTGTTTATCCATACAACAGCCATCAAACCAGCCACACCCACCTGCTTCTCCAGGTCGTTCAGTGCGACCATGACGTCCATATTCAGCTGCGTGCTCTGCAGGAAGCACCCACCCACTCCCCTGCACCTCGCAACCATGCTCCATGCGTATCCAACCTACCAGCAACCGTCCAGGCAAACCCACCTGCTTCTCCAGCTCGTTCAGAGCGCCCATGACGTCCATATTCAGCTGCGTGCTCTGCAGGAAGGCAGCAGCCCACACACACTCACGCCCACACACACTCACGCCCACACACACTCACGCCCACACACACTCATGCCCACACACGGACCTAGCAGACATGCGCCTATTCAGCCACACCCCACCTGCTTCTCCAGCTCGTTAAGCGCTCCCATCACGTCCATATTCAGCTCCGTGCTCTGCAGAGGTGCACCCCTCTCACCCTCCCGCATGCACCTAACAGCCACACGAGTGTGCTACTACCACCTTACACACCCCACCTGCTTCTCCAGCTCGTTCGAAGCGCCCATCACGTCCATATTCAGCTCCGTGCTCTGCAGGAACGCTGCAAAGGCTTTGAGGTTGGCGAGGTCTGTGAGCATGAGAGGCTCCGCGCCTGCGTGTTGTACCTGGTGTGGGGAGGTGAGGAGAGAAGGTGAAGGCAGATATCCAAGTTGAGCTGGTTGGAGTGCTTTGCAGGATGGCTGGTTGCATGGCAGCCCACGCCTTGAGATTGGCGAGGTCTGTGAGGGGCTCAGCACCTGCATTTTGCACCTGAGAGCGTGTAAGAAAACCCAGAGAGGTGGGAGAAATCGGGGGGGGGGACACGGGGAGGGCCTTGAGGTTGGCGAGGTCTGTGAGCATGAGGGGTGGGGTGGGGTCTGTGAGCATGTTGCACCTGAAAGCGTGTAGCAAGGGAGGGGTGGGGTGCATGTAGATTGCGAAATCCAGGTTGAGTTCGCAATCCAGGGTCGCAAGAACTCCCCTGAAACAGTTCTCCGTGCTCACCAAGAAGGACGCAAGGCAGAAAAAGCCCCTCCCCCCCCAAAAAAACATTCAAAAAAAGAAGAAAAAGAGAGAGAGAATAATGGTGACCCTCTTACCTTGATAGCAACCTTTTTGCCTCCCCTCAGCCGCCCTCTGTGCACTTGAGCGATCGAAGCAGATCCCAGCGGTTTCTCCTCCACCCACTCCCACACCTCCCTCCACCCCACCCCCCTGTACAACAATTTTGCGAGAAGAAATGTGTTTTGAGACGTCTCAAAACACAGCTTTTATCTCGTACAACTTTTTTTGCGAGAAAAAATTGAAGAAAAAAAACAAATTTTGGCTCACATGCTTACCTTGATAGCCACCTCCTTGCCTCCCTTCAGCCTCCCTCTGTGCACTTGGGCAATCGAAGCAGACCCCAGCGGTTTCTCCTCCACCCACTCCCACACCTCCCTCCACCCCACGCCTCCCAGCTCCTCTTGAATGGTGCGCAGCACGAGGGGGAGCGGGTCGGCAGGAGCAGCGTCGTGGAGGGCTGAGAGGCGACGCACCCACGCTGGTGGGGAGAGGTCTCGCTTGGCCAGGAACTGACCCGCCTGTGTTTGGTGGGGTGGGGAGTGGGAGGTGCGGGGATTGACGGAATGAGTGAGAAGGAGCAGTGTTGTGGAGGGCTGAGAGGCGAGCCACCCACGCTGGTGGGGAGAGGTCTGGCTTGGCCAGGAACTGACCCGCCAGTGTTGTGTTGGAGGGAAATGGTAAAAATGATTTGGTGTGAAGAAGAGCGCGGGAGTAGCAGGAGGAGACCATAGATAAACTTAAGGGGGGTATACGCCAACTTGTGATTACTAAACAAGTGTAAGAACAATGACGAAAAGGGACCGAAAGACATCAAAACTGCTCTCATTGAGAGTTGAACTCAAGACCTCCCGCTTACTAAACGGGTGCTCTAACCAACTGAGCTATGAGAGCTGTTGTTTGGAGGCTCAAGGGCTTCTAAGAGCTTGTATATTCTCTTCCACTATAGTCACATTCGTTTGCCCTTATTCTGATGCTACACTTTCTAAGCAGAATCTATGTGCAATCATTCTGCTACGTCACACTTGGTTCAAGAACGCATTATTATTGGTGCATAAGGCCTTTATCTCCGCCACCCCTCAGAGCCCACGGATTATTATCACTTCATTGGTCATTCCTTTGCTCACACCTTCGCTAAGTCGCACCTTGAGGAAAAATCCTTTCATGTTGGTGCAGAGGGCATAGAGAATCTCCGCTCCCCTCAGTTCACTCAGACAGTCACCTTATTGGTCACTCCAATGGCTGCAGTCATACACTCGCTATAGTCACACATTCTCTATCGTCACACCTTGAGGAAGAACCCCTTCATGTCGGTGCAGAGGGCATAGAGCATCTCCGCTCCCCTCTCATGCTGCCTCTGCCACATGGCAGATTTCTCCTCCTCTGATTGGCCGCTCACTGCCACCTGGAGCTGACAGAGCTGGGGAGGATAGGAGGATAGGGGGAAAAGTAAGAAAGGATATGGGGAGAGGGGAAGGGGGAGGGGAGGACAGGGGGTCCGGGAAGTGAATAGGAAAGAAATGAAGGAGGGGAGGGGAAGGGGAGTAGAAAGGACGAGGAAATGAGGATGAACGGATGCATGCAACCCAAAAGAAATTAAACCTGTTGTTCAAATTCTTTGGAAGATGAAACGCACCTTGTAACTGCCGTACAGGTGCACTATACGCCGCCAGAACTCAGCTCCTCGTTGAAACGACAGCACGTTCGCCTCTATATCCCGTTGTAACGCCACCATCCCTCGTTTCAGCCTGTTGCTCTGTGCCTCCACATCTCCCTGTAACGCCACCATTCCTCGTTTCACTGCCTCGTTTTGTGCGTCCAAATCTTGCTGCAGCGACACCAGCCCTCGCTTCAGTGCCTCGTTCTGTACTCCCACATCCCGCTGTAACGAGATTACCCCTCGTTTCAGTCTCTCATTCCTCGCTTCCACGTCCCGCTGTAGAGACACCAGCCCTCGTTTTAGAGCATCGTTCTGTGCTTCCACATCCCATAGCAACGACACCACCCCTCGCTTCACTGCCTCTTTCTGCGTTTCCATATCCCGCTGTAAGAATTCCACCCCTCGTTTCAGCGCCTCGCTTCGCTCCTGCACGGCCAATTTCACCTTCTCAGCTTCTGTCTGCATCCTCGCTTGCAGCAGCCTCGCTGTATCCAAACGCGCAGTTAGGGCACTTTTCGTTTCCTTTTCCTCGCCATAATCTTCCCTTCCCCATCCCACCTCCCTTCCCACCTCCCTTCCCACATCCCTTCCCACCTCCCTCTGCACGCGTTCTTCTTTCCAGGAGGAGGAGATCGGATCGGCCCAAGTCTCAAGCCATGACTGTGGGGTTTCCGGTATCCAATCGACAGCCTTAGGCGTTTCGACTTCACTTGAGTCGACTCGGCTATCCAAACCAGTCTTGGACGTCGAGCGCGAACTTGGTAGTGCCGATTCGTCCGGGCCTTCAGTCCGGAGGGATTTTTCTCGCCTAGGGGTCATTGGCGAAGGCTGCGACGCCAGAGGCAACCCTGGCGACGCCGGCGACGCCAGCGGCGCTGGTGACGCGGGCGACGCTGGCGAAGGCGGTGGTAACAGCGGCAGTTGCGAAGGGGGCAGGAGGAACGGCGAAACGGGAGGATTGGAAGGAGAAGGAGGGGCGTGCAGCAGCGACGCGGAGGCCATGAGCACGCGGCGCGAGAGCAGCGACAGCGGATTCGGTTTTCGAGGCGCCTCAGGAATCGCAGACGCAACCATGACTCGACGCGACAGCAGCGACAGCGGATTTGGCGGCTGCCTACTAAAACGCGACCGCCGCTCGCCGTCAGCTTTGCCAGAGGATTCCATGCGTCTGTACAATAGCCGCAGGATTCGAGAAGCGATCAAGCGGCGAGCCGAAGAGAAGCGATCAAGCGGCGAGCCGAAGAGAAGCGATCAAGCGGCGAGCTGAAGAGGTGAGTTGCCTGACGACAAACGCACGCTTTTGACCGTGCGCCGAGAGCCGAAGTGCTGAAGCGTGTTACACTGTTTTTGAGGCGCCTTATTAAGCACGCACTCGCGAACTCACGCACTCACGCACTCGGGAGTCCGGGCCGTGAGCACTCGATACGACAGCAACAGCACTCTGCCAGTGGAATGGGCTAGGAAGCTGCTCTCGACTTTTGAGCCGCCTCAAAACTCTTACGATAGCAGCAGCATTCTAGAACGGACTCGAAGCGGTCGCTCTCGAGTAGCCGCATCAGGTGGAATTCGCCTTTTACCTATCGCGGCTTTCTGGGATATCCACACGTGATTCCGTGAGCCCTTTTACGACTGCGACAGCACGCTATCGCGTGGACTCGAATGGACTCGAAAGTCACTCTCGATTTCACACTCAGGGTCAGATCCGCTTCTGATCCTCCACAGCCTTCTAGGACAGAAACAGGCTGTTTTTCTCCCCAGGCTGACTCAGCCTTGGGCTCGAATCTGCTCTCGGAGAGGAGCACGCAGGATGATGAGAGCGAGTCAACGCGATGCAGGGAAAATCACACACAGTGAAGTGCGCACGGTATGGTTCATCATCGTCCGAGGGAACGTCGCCGAGTCGCAGCATCGCCGAGGGGGTCATCGCACAAGGGAGTCGCGCAAGGGGTGTTTCTTCGTCGTCCAAGGGAACCTCGCCGAGTCAGCGTATTTTCGCCGAGAGAGCCATCGCACGAGCCGCGCACGGGATGCTGCTGAGGAACAGGCACTGTTTTCTTTCGAGAATCTACGCAAAATGATACCCTGCACATGGGGCGCGCGCCGCCCGTCTGTGAGACTAGCGATAGCGTCACTATATATCGTCGTTTTCGAGTCTCGACTGGTACGAACGCAAGAAAGTGACTGCTGCAGCTGGGATGGCGACATTCCCGAGGATAGCTGGCTAACTGACGGAATGAACGAGGTCGCGTATTGCTTGCTGCCAGAAAACTGACAGGATTGACGAGGCCGCGTACTGCTGCTGCTCCACCTGTCAATAACAGTCACTATTACTGCCATGTGGCTACATCGGACAAGCTCACAGTCTGAACTTGTAGCTCAGTCTGAACTCTCACAGGGCGCGCTGTGGTTTCTGAGTTGAGTCAGAGTACACGTGGAGTGCTTCTAAGCTACTGCGTTTTGCTGCCGCTCCACCTCTCAATAACAGTCACTAAAAGTGGGATGTACACAGGTGCCAGTCTGAACTCTAACAGGACGCGCTGTGATTTCCGAGTCGAGTCAGAGTACACGTGGAGTGCGAGTTATCTGCTGGGGAAGAGACGCGTTCCTCTGAATAAAACAAAGTGAGGGAAGCCCTAGTCCGGCCCAGGGTCCCTCGGAATTGACGAGGTTGCGAATTGCTGCCTCTCGCCTCTCTGGCCTGTCACATCCTAGTTGCCAGTCTCGACACTCTGAAAGCACATACGGACGCAAGCCACAGTCGTATGCTGGGGACGGGGGCTGGGAATTTGTGCTTCGACAAGAATTGCAGCGGCGTTGTTGCTGTTGTTTGTGCTGCGGCTGGGGGTGGAAATGCAGTGACGTTGGAAGGGACGAGGTGGAGGTGTCGTCGATTTCGAGCAAGCAGTCAGTCTGTCAGCCTCAATCAGTCTATCAGGAGAGATGAAATGCTACACCCTGTTTCCCGCTATTGTGTATGCCGGTATACTGAACCCTGTGGCTCAACGCGCCAAATTACGCGATATAGTAAACTTTTGCACCAGTTCGGTTTGACGAGGTCAGCTACCTTTGAAGACGGTCGATTAAACTTTTAATATGGCTCGGTAGGGTACCCAGGTCAACGAAATTTCGGATCACCCGCCTCCTAGAGACGGATATTGTAAACTTTTCAAATACGTCCAAGGAATAGTTCCACTGTTCAGTGTGTTTCCGCAGTTCAGTGTAGCGAGAAACAGGGTGTATGTCGTGGCTTTGACGGAGACTTTCGGGAATGACAACGAGGGGACCGTTCAAGTTTCAATTCGACTCGACTCGACTCGAGCGTGTGTGTGTTTGGTCGGGGTTAAGGTTAAGGTTACATTAAGGTCGTAACCATGTACAACAAAGCATAGAGAAGCTGGAAATATGGTCTACACAAACCAACAGCCCAAAGGCGTACGTAGGAAACGCGTTATTTCCTTATCAACTGATAACCTCCAGCAAGGCTGGGGAGCACTCTATGCTAAAAAATGAGAAGTGCCTAGGGGGGACGAAAGGGGTCTCCGAGAAGCCATGATGAGCGAAGATCTGGGTGGATAGAAGGGTTACCCTCCTGATCAAAAACAAAAAAGCGTAGTCGGGTGGCCAGCTTAAGACGAGAGGCCGAGCGTTGTTGTTTCTTAACTGATTGTTTCTTCCTGCGCCAGAGGAAGATTTTGAAAGCTAGGAGGAATTTCTCAAGAGTGGTTAGCAACGGAATGTCTTGGAATAGAAACGAATGGGGTACAAATGAGCAACCCTAGAAGCTGTACCCCCTAGAGTGCAACTCACTATAGCCTATCATATCAATGTTCAACATTTGACACACCCCCATAGGCTAAGTGAGGGGCATAAAAGCAAGCAAGGTGAACAAACGATCACAAGACCAGTCAAAGCAAGAACCAAGGCAAGCTCAGGGTGGATCTCAAGGACACCACACAAATTCCGAGCGCAAGCAAGCGGCCACAAGGCCAGTTCAAGAGTTCACTAGGATATAAATACAAAGCACAACAAGCAGAGCAAGCAACAGGACTACAGCAATCGAGGGCCTACCTCAACAAGCCCCAACTGCACACAAAACCTGTGGTGGTCACCAAGCGCCAAGGCCTTGGTGAAGACGTCTGCAGTGTTGGCCTCTGAGGCCACAAAGTCCAGGCGTGCCTGACCGCGTCGCTGCAGCTCTCGCAGGAGGAAGTACCTCACGTCAATATGCTTCACTCTGCTCTCCAGTCGAGGCTCTCGACAGAGGAGGATCATGGCCTTGTTGTCAGCGTACAAGGTCGGTGCAGAGCGAGGCCGCTCACCAAGGTCGGCGAGCAAGAAGGTCAACCAGCGAAGCTCCTGTGCCGCCATGGCACCCGCGTAGATCTCTGCCTCTGCACTAGAAGTAGCCACAGACGACGACCGTGTAGACCTCCACGACACAGCACCAGCTCCCAGACTGAAGCACTAACCCTGAGTCGAGCGCTGAGTCTCCACGTCGTCAGCGTAGGAAGAGTCACAGTGACCAGTCAACGCCACTGGCTGAGTCCCTCCAAGCACAAGCCCCATGCCTGATGTAGTCGCCAGGTACTTCGCCACCCTCACAGCAGCTGTCCAGTGGACAGGGCGGTGTCTCCCAGTCGCAACAAAGCGAGAAAGGTTGCTGAGGGGAAAGGCGAGGTCCGGTCGAGTACAAGTCATCAGGTACATGAGGCAGCCCACCAGCTCTGGGTAGGGTCCACTTGACTCAAAGGGCTCGTCAGGAAAGGGGACCGTGAGTCTGTGGTCAACAGCAAGAGGAGTGGGCTGTGTGGTGGAGAACTGGAAGTCGAACCGCAGAAGGACCTGCTGCACCATGTGTGACTGCCTCAGTGTGATGGTGCGAGCGGCTCTGTCCCGGGTGATCTGCAAGCCAAGGTAACGCTGCAGCTCACCCAGGTCAGTGCACTTGTGTCTCTTCTGCAGTTCGGACTTCACCTGAGCCAGGGCTGCCCTGTCTGCTGTAGCAAACACCAAGTCGTCAACGTAGACAAGGATAAAGAAAGGAGTAGAACCCGCTCGAACAAACAGCGACGGGTCCGCGGAGGACGGGCTGAACCCAAGGTCACGAAGCGTGGAGCGAAGAGTGTCGTGCCACTCACGGGGCGACTGGCGGAGACCGTAGACTGGTCGCCTCAGGCTCCACTGGGTCCCAGGTGGGAAGGTGTCAGTGAAGCCAGGAGGACGGCGCAGCCAGATCTCCTCGTGCAGTCGGCCCTGGAGGAACGCAGTGAAGAAGTCGAGGGAGTGCAGCTCGTAGTCTCGCTGCGCTGCTATGTGGAGTAACACCCGAAGAGTAGTCATCTTCGGGGTCGGGGCGAAGGTCTGGAAGTAGTCAACTC